AAAGATTCAACATCCGTTTAGCTAGTTCCAGTATAGTGATGGTGGATTTAGCAACTGATGATCTAGTTCCAGATAATGATGCTGGATTTAGCAACTGATAATCTAGTTCCAGATAATGATGCTGGATTTAGCAGCTGATAATCTAGTTCCAGATAATGATGCTGGATTCAGAGCAGCTGTGAGCTGACAATATAGTTCCAGTCAATGATGCTGGATTCAGCAGCAACTGATAATCTAGTATTACACAATTTTGCTGGATTCAGCAGTGGATAATCTAGTTTCAGACAATGATGCTGGATTCAGCAGCTGATAGTCTAGTTCCAGACGATTATGCTGGATTCAGCATCTGATAATCTAGTTCCAGAAAATGATGCTGGATTCAGCAGCTGATAATCTAGTTCTAGACAATGATTCTGGATTCAGCAGCTGATAATCTAGTTCCAGATCATGATGCTGGATTTAGCAGCTGATTATCTAGTTACAGACAATGATGCTGGATTCAGCAGCAGATAATCTAGTTCCAGACATTGATGCTGGATTCAGCAGCAGCTGATAATCTAGTTCTAGACAATGATGCTGGATTCAGCAGCAGCTGATAATCTAGTTCTAGACATTGATGCTGGATTCAGCAGCAGCTGATAATCTAGTTCTAGACATTGATGCTGGATTCAGCGGCAGCTGATAATCTAGTTCCAGATCATGATGCTGGATATAGCAGCTGATAATCTAGCTCCAGCCAATGGTGCTGGATTCAGCAGCAGCTGATAATCTAGTTCTAGACAATGATGCTGGATTCAGCAGCAGATAATCTAGTTCCAGACAATGATGATGGATTCAGCAGCAGATAATCTAGTTCCAGACATTGATGCTGGATTTAGCAGCGGATAATCTAGTTCCAGGCAATGATGCTGGATTCAGCTGCTGAAAATCAAGTTCCCGACAATGATGCTGGATTATCAGCGGATAATCTAGTTCCAGATGATGGTGCTGGGTTTAGCAGCTATTTATTTTATTTCACTATGTTGCATCGGAAAATTAATTCTCTGGATCAGAACGGAAGGTTTTCTCTTTTCTCTGGTAGCTTTTAGTTCACTTTTTCACCACAAGGTTTCTTGCTTTGCTAAAGCAGTGTACAGTTTACAACTAAAAACGTTTACTGTCAGTCAACAGTTTAATGAGCACTAACTTTATATATGAACTAGTTTGTTTTGTTGGACTGTTAAATTATTCTGTTTATCAGAGTTTAATCCTTTCCCTTCAACTGCTCTGGGGGCACTGGGTTTGTTTACATTCTTCCCAGAGTGTACAGTACACAATATGCGTATATCTGATTTGGGTGTTTCAGATATGGAAAACTTATTAATGCTCAATAAGATTTGTGCAACTCGTACAACTATAAAGGAGAAGCAAGGTAAAAAGATTCCCACTTAGCCTTGTTTCTGAGGTTTAACTTTCTTTTCAGATTTAAAACCTTTCTCTTTAGGTATAGTCTTTCCTACTAATGTTTAAATCCTTCCTCCCAAAGATTAAAGTTGTCCTCATAACGTTTAACCCTTCAAGATTGTAAACCTTTTTTCCCAACATTTGAATCCTCCCTCCTAACGTTTACATCCTTCCTCCCATGGTTTACATCCTTCCTCCCAAGGTTTACATTCATTCATTCATTCATCTATTCATCCCTCCTCCCAAGGTTTACATCCTTCCTCCCATGGTTTAAACTTTTCCTCCCAAGGTTTAAACCCTTTCCTCCCAAGGTTTAAACCTTCCTCCCAAGGTTTACATCCTTCCTCCTTTTAAACCTTAACTCCCAAGGTTTACACCCTTTCTTCCAAGGCTTTAATCCTTCCCCCCCAAGGTTTGCATCCTTCCTCCCATGGTTTAAACCCTTCCTCCCAAGGTTTAAACCCTTCCTCCCAAGGTTTACATCCTTCCTCCCATGATTTAAACCCTTCCTCCCAAGGTTTAATCCTTCCTCCCATGTTTTACATCCTTCCTCCCAAGGTTTACATCCTCCTTCCCATTATTTAAACCCTTCCTCCCAAGGTTTTAATTCTTCCTCCCATGGTTTACATCCTTCCTCCCAAGGTTTACATCAATTCAATAGTTTTTTTTTTATTCTAGAACCAGATTGAAATGATAGGAGAAGAACCAGAAAAATATGAGGTATTTTCAATTTCCAAAAATTAAAATTTTTATGTCTGTGGTGATGGATTTTTTCTAAAAATACCTATTTTCATAATCGTTACTTTTAATCCTAAAGATAATTATCAAACATAAAATGCAACGTATTCTGAATCTTATTCCTTGAAAAAGTCTAACTTTAACTGTTTTCTGGAACCTATGAGTGCAGAAAATTCAGCGCAAAAAAGTCCACAAAACAGGCACTTATATATATATGTGGGTTTATTGCCAAAAAACTCCATACAAAAGTTCCCGGCCTTGTCTGAGTCTGCGAGGAGAAAACAAACTGTGATTGGATAGTCTTAAAATCCAAAGGATCCTTGTTTTATCCATCCAAAGATCTATTGGAGAAAATATTTTTAAAAAATACATGAAGAGTTTCTGGATAGAGGACATGATCCTATCGAAAAAAAAACAATTTCAATAAATCAAAGATGGTCTCGGGAGGTGTTTGCTTTTATTAAAACATACAAATTTTACCATATAAAGTTTCACAATCTTGGTAATTATCATTTCTCTCTCATGCCTTTAAATCATATACTCACAAGTACTAAATACTCTTGCGTTTTATAATCATTATTCATGTCAACGATAGCAATATATCTCATTAGCCCCCCTCCCACATAATTGATGTTTTGCCCCTGAATTCTTTGTTTTGATCTCCTCCCACTGCAGTACACAGATTTGACGTATCAGATATGGTGGTTCCTGGTCTATATATTTCTTGATCCAAGGATGTAATGTAAGGAAAGTTATTTCAGAAGTGTAGACATCTTTTGTACTGCAGTGTACTGTCTCTGGGCGGTAATGTAAACACAAGACGGATGTCAAAGCCTGACCTGGAATCCATCTTTCACATAAAAAAATCAATGAAAGAGAACTGGTTTCAATATGTACGCACAGGGGTCAATATAATTCCCAAAAAAACTGATTTTCTCGATCCCAAAATAATTTTTTGCCCCCAATTTTGAAAAAAAATGCCCCCAATTTAAAAAAAAAATGCCCACAGTTAAAACCCATTTTTTTAAAAATTATCATTTAAAAAAATTTTGCCCCCAATTAAACAATTTGCCCCCATTTCTTTCAAATTTCTCAATCCCAAATGGGATTGAAAAAGGAATTATATTGACCCCTGTGTACGCAGAGTTTACACGACCGCAATTAACTTTCCTTGCATTACACCCTTGTCTTGATCAATATAGAAAACATTGGTAAGTATACACTACAGCTAACTGAGCACACAGGTAGAGAACTATCATCCCCCCTGATAACAATCTTTTATTTCTTGACCTTGTTAAACTACAGAATTAAAACTACTATAATTAAGCATAATCCTATGCATCATCAGAAATTTCAGATTGTGAGTAGCACTATCAGTATGTTGCTTTGGTCCAATACTACGCTGAGTAATCCCAGTAAAATTTCAAGAAGAAATAATCTGACAGTAAATAAAAGCTCATCAGCTATTCTCCATAGCACCAGTATGAATGGGTGCATGCTCTCATGTAATAAAGAATAAATGGTGGCTTGAAGAGTATCATTTAAAACATAAAGGCACACCAAGGACCACTGTATAAGCCTTTATTAATAAATATTATATCATTTTATTTAAATATTTATTCACACCTAAATAAGCTGTTTAATTCTGATCTATAATAATTCATATCCAATATTGGCAAATACAAGCTATAAATTAAAAACTTTTTTTAAAACAAAAATGATTCATTATCTTTTAAAGATAAAACCGTCGTCAGTTAATATTTTAAAATATGCGTCTTGGAATTAAATTGTAGTTCTTTTGCTTAATAATTTAGACATAACTTTAAAATTAAATAATATTAATAACACACATCTACATAATTCATATTAAACTTAAATATCTAAGCCATGTAATCTTATAAGGATAAGCAATCAACTATATATTTGTGTTCAAGCCAAACTAAAAGCTATGCTGCTTTGTAATTATATCTTTCTGTGGCAATTTAACTTAAAAATTTAAATTGTGCTTGCGAAGCAGTTTTTTAACATTTGTAAAGCCTAATTTTCAAGTTTTTGGATTTGGTTTTGTTTAAGACAACAAAGTTTGTTACAAGGACAATGTTTCTGATAAATCTAAATTTTAAAAATGTAAAAATATTAGTTATTGTCAAAGTTAAATTATAGGCGTGAAACTTTTAATATATAATTATACAGTAGTAAATTATAAGCAACATTTATAAAGGAAAAAATTGAATAAGATAATAACTCATTCTTGAATGATTTATATCATAAGATTTTTCAATTTTTCAAAACATCAAGATATAAATATCTTAAGATATGTTTTGAACTGCTAAATACAGTTCATTTGTCCGCTTTTTGGTATTTTAAAATTGTTTTGCTAAAGGATAAAAAACTAGTTGTTTTAATATTCTAACAAATATCTTTGAAAATTCGAGTTTTTCTTGCTCATTTGCTCAATTTTCAAGAAAATTAATGTTGGTGAATGTTTGCCAATTATCAAATCTTTTTATTTAATGAATCAAAGAAAACTTTAAAACTGGTGAAACTTGATTTATAAAAAAAAGTGCCAAATAGTTTTACCCTTGGGATAAGTAAGAATCCTTATTGTGGTTTTAATCAACTTACATATTATTCATATTTTGATATATATTTTTAACTTTTTGAAATGTTAAATCGGCTAACTTTAATCAACTTACATATTATTTATATTTTGATATATATTTTTAATTGTTTGAATTGTTAAAATGGCTATTTTTAATCAACTGAAAGAAAAAGCAAAACTTTATAATTTAAAATTAGTTGTAAAACCAGCAGTTTTGTTTTATATAATAATATTAAATATCTCTTACTGATAATCTAGTTCTAGACAATGATGCTGGATTCAGCAGCAGCTGATAAACTAGTTCTAGACAATGATGCTGGATTCAGCAGCAGCTGATAATCTAGTTCTAGACAATGATGCTGGGTTCAGCAGCTGATAATCTAGTTCCAGACAATGATGCTGGATTCAGCAGCAGATAATCTAGTTCCAGACAATGATGCTGGATTCAGCAGCAGATAATCTAGTTCCAGACAATGATGCTGGATTCATCAGCAGCTGATAATCTAGTTTTAGATAATCATACTGGATTCAGCAGCAGATAATCTAGTTCCAGACAATGATGCTGGATTTGAACCCAGCTGTCAATTTTGCACTGAAATAATAAAAATGTTTTCTGAAATAATTCTTTCTATGGTACCATAATAATGTTTAGGGACTTTAGAAAATTAGCAAAATATTATTAAAAAATAGATATTTATTCAATTTTATCACTTGTGATCACAGGTGATTGAACAAATGGTAACCGCCTAAAAAGTTCTCTGAAAGAAAGTTTTGGGAAATAAAGTCCTAAATTTTGGCACTATAAAGTCTTGTGGAAAAAAGTCCTTGAAAAAAACACTTTGAGACATAATTTTTAGTACTTCTTCTGGTTTTAGTATGACTTTGTTTTGCAACTGGCGTTGCCCTGGTCTATACAAAAATCAAGTGCCGTGCTGAGTTTCTTTGGGCCGAACCGTAAGCACCTCTACTCTCAATCCTTCTCATGATGAATAAAAAACAGGGCAAGTTTTATTGAAGAACGGTACTTCAGTCTGATAAAAAATAAAACTTTTTAGGATCACAAAAAAAGCATTGACGAGCATAATATAAATCATTTCTCATTGAACAAAGATATTTCACCCATCAGGCATTAAAAAACTGTGGACAAGCCCATATTTATCATATATATATGCAACACAAGAAACGTAAAAAATATTTTAATATTTAGAATCATATTTACTACAGTAGTCTGCTGATTTCAGCACGAAAATAATCACGAAAACATTCTATAATATAACTAATTTTAAATTTGACGAATATATACTAAAAAACTGTAAAAAGAACACTTGGACCCCCATAGCTGTCATGTTCTTGGATTGGAACTTGTACCCAGCCAGGATCGCCAAGGTTGAGAAATTGATAAACCCTCTCTCCACTCTCACCTCCTCTCCAGACACCAATGAGTAAAACTCCTCAATCCCCGAATATCTCTCCGGATCGTGAGACAGGCAGATACGGGGAGATCGTGGAGTAACTCTAGGTTCCCCGGTTGAATCGTCATCTTAGTATGAACGTACATTAGATAGGCATATAGGACTGGTGAATCAGGAAGAACCACGTGAATCCTTCCTAATATCTGCTGCTTGTCCAAATATCCCACCCAATCCAGATCCTTTGTTTTGAATTGGAACTCAGGGGACAATCTTCCTTCATCATAAACCACTCCATTTTGCACAACAAATCTCTTCATCTACACAGGTTTTAATGCTCTTATCACTCTTTCTGATTTCCACTGGAAAAAACACTGCTCTGCTTTCTCCGTCTCATTCCTGGGATCCCATCTATGTTCTCCTAGTTGACAAATCCTGCAGTTATCATCCTGGATCAGATGACGGTTATGACAATACTTAGTCCTCCATCCTTGCATGTAACCAGTCAATCTCAGAGCTTTCATCCATCCATGGTACACAGGATTAACCAGTAGCTCTGCATGTGCATTTTGTATATTAAACTTGTTAAGGTTCAGCTCTCCTACTCCTGATGGTAATCCATCCTTCTCTGGCTTCCACTTATACCAGGGTAACTCACCAAGCCAAGGCATCTCACTGAACTAGGAGATCTGTTCAATCCAGGATAAAATTGATCAATCCCTGACATCTCACCAAACCATACTCCAAACCAATAGATCTCATCCATTCCAGAATATCTTAGAAGCAAATAAGGATCGCTCATAGATCCCTGATCATCACAATTTTCTCAGGATCGCCATTCTTCTGAGGATTGCCATTCTTCTGAGGATCGCCATTCTTCTCAGGATCGTCATTCTTCTGAAAATTACCGTTACTCCTTTTTAAATCCTCAGTCCGTGATGGATCATCACAATTCTTCTCAGGATCGTCATTCTTCTTAAAATTACTATTACTCCTTTTTAAATCCTCAGTCCGTCTAAAATAATTAGTCTTCTTAAAACCATCAGCTTTATCAAAGCCACCATTGTTCCTAAAATCTTCATTCCTCTTACCATCGCCATTCTTCTTAAAATTCTCAGCCTCAGCAATCTTCTTTAAAAACTTTTTCTGGTTAAACTTAATTCTTCAACCTTGGGGTATCCACTAGTAGCTCTGCTACACCCCTCCCTGCATCAGTTGAAGAAACGGAAAACTCATAATCCTTGCTACCCTTTATCCAGTCCATTGTGTGTTGAATTTTACGAATCGGATTCCTTACAATCATCCCTCCCATGGTAGTTTCAACTGTGTCTCACAAGGCTATATCGAAATTGCGAAATGGAGAATTAAACTCCTCTGCAAAATCATCCAAATTCCCTGAAAGACTCTTCTCATCATGCTCCATCAAACCTTCACTATCTGGATTCCTACTAGTTGTCTCTTCCAACTCATTTTTGGTAGAATCTTTACAATTAGACAAGTTTCCTGTGGGATTAATCTCATCATGCTCCAGTGAACCTCCCTCTCTCTCCACATCAGTATTATCTCTGGTTGTACCCTCTGGATTCCTGAGAGTCGTCCCACCTATCCTTTCTTTGGTAGAATCTTCCAGGGCTATGTTGAAATTGCGACTTGGAGAATGTTGCTCCGCCACCAAATCATCCAAATTCCCTGAAAGATCCCTCTCCTCTTGCTCCATTATGCCTCCATCCGCCTGTACTCCATCATTAATCTCATACTCTAATTGGTTCAAACTTACTTCTTGATCCATTATCAGACACTTGAAGGTCCTCACCATTCCATGGGCACTGTGTAATCCACACAAGTTCCCTTGATTCTCCAGGATCTCCAGCAGTTCTCATGATCATTCAAAGATTCTTCAAAATCATCTAGTCTTTCTCCCTTACAACCCAGAATATCTCCTCCATTTCTCGGGTGAGGTTTTACTGACAATTCTAGCTTCTCATTTGTTCTAATTGAATAATATCTCTCCTCAATCTCAGTATCTAAATCCTCAAGAATACTTGTTACTTTAGCATCAGCCATCACCTTGGCAACAGCCATTATCTTGAGATCAGCCATCAGCTTGGGATCACCATGAGATCTCATACCAGGGGTTCTCATTAGACTAAAATATCTCTTATCTATCTGCTCCAATTTGGTATCAATCATCAACTCGGCCTCAGCCATCATCCCAACATCAGCCATTGATTCAGCATCAGCCATTATCATATTATTAACCTGAACTATTCCAGCATCAACCATCAACTCAGTATCAGTCATTATCTCAATATCAGCTATCATCTCAACATCACTCATCAACTCAGCATCAGCCCTCATCTCAGTATCAGCCATCAACTCTGCATCCACCATGGTCTCAGTATTAACCATTATCTCAGCATCAGCCATCAACCCAGCATCAGCCATTATCATATTATTTATCTGAACTATTTTGGTATCAGCCATCAACTCTGCATCCACCATGGTCTCAGTATTAACCATTATCTCAGCATCAGCCATCAACCCAGCATCAGCCATTATCATATTATTTATCTGAACTATTTTGGTATCAGCCATCAACTCTGCATCCACCATGGTCTCAGCATTAACCATTATTTCTACTTTCTAATCCACCTTAGAATCCAGTTTATCCACATTAGATTCCAGCTTGAATAATCTCTGCTCATCTATTTTCAATCTCTCCCAAAGTTCAGAACTTTTAGGTTTCAGTATGTCTATATCCTCCTGCACAGTTTGGAGTATTACCTTTGGCTCTTGAAGGGCCATAAAGAATGTATCCATCCCCTCAAACATTTTATCAACTTTTTTCTCCACTAGATTCTGTCGATGTTTCATCAGTTTAGAGTTAGACCATTGTTCAGCTTGATCATTATTTCCTAAACCTTCTACAGATAATCTGGATATAATCTCATCGATGGACCCACTGGTATTCAGATCTAGTGCTCTTCTGGAAGGCGTTCCATCAGGTTGCAAAACCCTGGGAGTGATTAGGCTAGGATGAACGGGTTCCAATTGAACAGATCCTGTACCTCCCACTCCTGCAAGTCTATCGCTAGAGATTATGCTTGGTTCGTATTCTGCATCTGTTCTGCTCCGACCTGGGATGTTATGAGGTAGTAAATCCTGTCCATCAGCCTGCCATTGCTTTGCTATTATTCCTGGATTCATTCAGTACTTCTCCCCCCCCTGTAAATGGGTGCAGATGCCATACTATACTGGGATGATTTCTCCATAGGTTCTACATCATGGAAGGTATAGTCTAGATCACAACTCCTTATCATCATTTTACGATATTCTTTACTGGATTCACGAACCGGAACACGTTCTTCAGGTTGAGGATCTGGACCTGGATCCTCCTTGGATACAGGCTTGGCTAGTTTCCAGATTACACTCAATCTATCCTTAAGACTAGCCAATTCTCCCACCAAAGACAGATCCCCCCTGGTTAATAAAACTTTAGCTCAATACTCCCAAAAAATGCATTATACTTTGAATCAATGACATCTCCCACTTGGGGAATAGAGCAAACAATTTCCCCCCACTTAAGTATCGCATTTTTAAGCTGGGTAAAATCCTCTCTCAGTTTTACATCAATAGAATTTGGAACAGCCTTGGATCTAGTACGAACTCTGGGTTCAAACCCCATCCCTCTACTACTTTCAAAGTTCTCATCAATAAACCCTTTAGTATTGACTTCAGGAGTGGATGCATATCTATCGGAATCAAAATGATCAAATCGTATGGTTTCAGGCAAAAGCAAGGTGCTACTCAATCTATCTCCCTCCCCTTCTGATGTAGACCTCCTTCTGGCTGCCCCCCACATGGTTCAAGAACTTTGAGTACTAAGATTTCAATAAATTCCCCATCAATTTCCTAATTAGGCATTAAGAGAAGATCAGGAGAAAATTTGAAACTAGACTCAATTCAATAACTGTAGACGCCCTGTTGTAACTTTCGGGAATAGGTCAGATAAGAACAAAGGGATTGGGTATTATTAAACAATTGTTGTATCTAAGATTGTTCTTAATAAGAGTGAACAGTCCCTTGAATACAACTGGATACCAGGGATCAGTACAACCCGAGCGGTAGCAGTAGACACAAGTCTCCTGCACACTACCACTCTGAGTCCTGTGCTACATACAGCGAACATATAGTATACAGAGGGAACCTGTCAGGATGAGCTACATCAGGAGAAGATGGACCGGGTCTCGGTTATTGTGCGGAACCCCGCCTACATTGAAGAAGTAGAGCTGGATGAAGATGAAGTTGATCCAGCTGACCTCACTCCTCTTATCAGTGGGGACACTCCCATTGTCACTGTCCCAACCTCAAAGGATGAAGATGTAACTGAGGATGTTGTAGAGGATAGTAAGGAGGATGATGGAGGATGTTCCACAGATGCTCCAAGACGTCATTGCTAGTTTGACGGAACTTAATAAGGAGATGAGAAGCATCCTGTTCCCTACTCCGGGGGACACTAGCTCCCTTAAGCCTGCTGTTGTCCCCCAAGTTGAGGTTTGGGACACAGGGAAGGCTTAGGAGCAAGAATACAGGCTGTATCCTGACTCTACTAGGACAGAGGTCAGTGACAGGCTGTCTAACCAGGTTTGGGATCTGCTCCAGATCATGCAGGAGTGGGTTGACCAGCAGACCTGTAATAGTAAAGATATAAAGTTGATTGACGGACTGAAAGCTATATCAGTCATGCACTTTAGACTGGTAAACTAACTGAGAGAGTGCTTAAACGTCAAGCTAAGAAACCTTAAAAGTAAAAGGGATCAAGGCTGATAATTATGTCATCAGATTATCTTTATCTAATATGATGCATGCATTTATGATTATGTAAATAAATGTGTTGACATTGTAGAAAATATGTTTATTACTTTGGGTGTTAATTATTGTACGAGGAAATAATTATATAAATATATAAATTTGGCTAGTCTGTCTGTCTGTTTGTCTGTTTGTTTGTTTGTTTGTTTGTATCCAATAAACGTCAAAACGGCTGAACCGATCGGGCCCAAATTTTTTGTGGGACATCTAGGGACCCCAGGGAAGGTTTATGAAAAATCAAAATTTCAAATATTTGTCTCCATCAAAATTCGATCGTCATTAAATTTTTTAAAATTTGGAAAATCAGTGAAATTTTTTGTGAAAATCCGCGAATTATTTTTGTTTTGTTTTACGATGTACACAAAGAGAACATGTTCACAATTAATTTAGAAGATGGGCGCGAAGCGCCCTCTAAGGCTAGAAAGAAGGGCGCGAAGCGCCTTGAATTTCTAGTAATTATATAAAGGTTTACTCTGCATGATAGAGATAGCCCAAAGTATAATATTGCCAGGTTGCAAAGATAACAACATTGCATGAGGGTTAGGTCTGAGTGGTGGAAATAACCCGATCTGCAAAGTTGTCTGGTTGCAAAGATAATTGATCTAATACAAGTAGAATAACTTCAAGTGTGATCTTATCAAAGTTTGCTAATTTAAGTTTGCCAATTTATTGCACATTTTTAGTAGTAAGAGAATACTACACAGTTCAATTCTCAAGATAAATTTATCTCACTCAATCATTCTGTGTACAATCCAATCAGTGGTAAGCACTAAAGGAAGACAAGAGAGTATCTTATTGATTAGGCTTGATTTAAAATTTAGTACTTAATGAAGATCCATTTCACTCAATCATTCTGTGTATCTTTCCATTGCTGGCAGGCACGACTAGAAGATAAGAAAATGTCTCAAGATTAAGACCTAATTAGGTGCCCTATCATAATCGTACCGAATATAGATTCGGGGATTCAAAGGGATTAAAGGATTCAAACAATTTCTCAGATAAAAAGATTCCTTTTACTGAATTCTTCCGTTTATTTTTCCATTACTGGCAAACACTACTGGAAAAATAAGAAAATGTCTCAATAAATAGGACTTAAAATGCGACCCGGTAGTAATCTAGTCTAATATAGATCAGGTAGATTCTATGGATTACTTTCTTTGACTCAATTTTTTCTCAATTTAAAACATCAATTCATCTTTGGGGCTTAAAAGTTGGTACCCTAAAGCGAATTGTGACTGAATGTTTTGCAACTGGTGTTGCCCTGGTCTATACAAAAATCAAGTGCCGTGCTGAGTTTCTTTGGGCAAACCGTAAGCACCTCTACTCTCACTCCTTCTCATGATGAACAAAACACAGGAAAGGGCTTCAAGTTTTATTGAGGAACGGTACTTCAGTCTGATTAAAAAATAAAACTTTTCAGGATCACAAAAAAAGCATTGACGAGCTTAAAATAAACCATTTCTCATTGAACAAAGACATTTCACCGATCAGGCATTAAAAAACTGTGAACAAGCCCATATTTATCATATATATATGCAACACAAGAAACGTAAAAAATATAATAATATTTAGAATCTTAATTACCACAGTAGTCCACTGATTTCAGCATGAAAATAATGTCGGCAGAAAACAGGTTCTTTATTTCCAACACATTCTGGAGTGGAAACCACTTGTACAGAACATCTGTACAGTACAGGGGATAATAGGTCCTTCCCAGAGAACAGGGATATTTCATAGACTCTAACTACACTGCGTGTGCTAGCCTAACAGACTTTATACAAAACTGTTCCCAGAAAAAAGTCCTATTATAGTAAAAAATGCTTGGGAACAGAGATTGTTTACAAAAAAAGGGGGAAATTAATATTAAAAATATCCTTGGCCTTATTTCATATGCACATGCATAACAAAAGTACTTGTTTCCCAACTGGCGTTGCCCTGGGTTATACAAAAATCAAGTACCATGCTGAGTTTCTTTGGGCCGAACCGTAAGCACCTCTACTCTCAATCCTTCTCATGATGAATTAAAACACAGGAAAAGTCTTAAAGTTTTATTGTGGAACAGTACTTCAGTCTAGAAAAATAAAAATTTTTAGGATCACAGAAAAAGCATTGACAAGCATAATATAAACCATTTCTCATTGAACAAACGATATTACACCCATCAGGCATTACAAAACTGTAATCAAGCCAATATTCATCATATATATATATATAACACAAGAAAGGTAAAGAAATATTTTAATATTTATAATCATAATTACCACAGTAGTCAGCTGATTTCAGCACAAAAATAATCAAGAAAACATACTATAATATAACTAATTTTAAATCTGACGACTATATACTGCAAAACAGTAAATAAAGAACATGAGTCCGTTTCGTCTGTGCAGTATGCTAAAAGCTGTTGGCAGAAAACAGGTTCTTTATTTCCAACTTCTTCTAGAAAACACTTGTACAGAACATCTATACAGTACAGGGGAGAATAGGTCCTCCCCAGAGAACAGGGATATTTCACAGACTCTAACTATGCTGCGTGTGCTAGCGTAACAGTACTTTTTATGAAAACCACTTGAAATTGACCTCATTTTGACAACTTGACAAGACTTTTTTTCTTAGTTTTTTTTTACAAAAAGTTTTTATTTCCACATTTTTTCATTCAGAAACTTTTTTCCTGGTCTTTCTTACATAGATTCGAACAAACAAGATCATATTAATCAAATAAATTTTTGTTTAAAAAAACCTACCCTGGTCTGTACTTGAAGTAATTTGAGTTTCCTCCTCCTAATATACATACATTTGCATATCCATAGTAAGTTGGCCATGTCCAAACCCAACCCTATAAACAAGAGACAACCTGAAGAGACTGTAAGAGTAATATCAAATGACCCTCTATGCACTAACTCACTTATTCTGTGTCTCTGAATATTTTTATTTCAGAGCTAAAATTCTGAGGCTAGACGGGCCCACAAATTTCAGAACTTTGACCAAAGATAAAGTCCAGATAAATTTTACTTGGTTTAGACGACCAGAGACTGTGTCAGCTTCAACCCCAAAGACGGTACTGTTCATGAATGTAAGACATCTGCAGAGGAGATTAGCAATAGCAAACATGGGTGATGGGTGATGGAAGAACTACTCGGTTATCAACATCGAGCAGTTGTTAAAGAATTGTTAAAGATTTTTAGAAAATTTACAATTACTGAAAATGGAATCAATTCTGTTCAATAAGCTAAAAATACTTGTTATTGGGTTACATACACAAAATACAATTTCATAAAAAAAGAAAGAAGCGGTGCTGTTCTAAGCTGAGATAAGACAGTACATAGATCTATTAACCCATTTGTGACAAGACGGTCAATTTTGACCAGGTAAGGTTTTTATTTTTTAGCGCCTTCATTTTTAAACCAAATATCGTCCTGTTTCATTCCCGCCCTTCCTTTAGATATGCCAAGTATCGCCTATAGGTTGCAGGCATGTTACAGGTGGATAGGGTGATAGAGCAGCTAGCAACAATTGGGAGAGATTCAAATTCAGGAACCTCCAACTCCAACAGATATAAATCTGTGAAAAATTGTTTTCAAAATTTTTTTATTTCTATGAAAAGTTTGCATTTGATGTAAGTTCTATGCTTATGTTACGTTCAGTGTAAAATGTTTATGTTTACTGCTCTTTTTAGCCTTTTTTTTCTGCCTGGTCAAAATTGCCCGTCTCGGACCAGGTCAATTTTGACTGCCTGGTTGAAATGCCGGTTTTTAGGCACACACTGTGCAGTATACACCCTACCCCAATAGAGTATATTTACACACACACCCTCCTGTATAGTATATATATATATCCCACCCCCTGTATGGTATATATATACACCCCCTTTGTATACATGCATGATGAGTAAGGGAACACTCCTTTAGTAACAATACTCTAGCATTCTCGGCAGAAATTTAGCCTGATTTGTTGGAAATTTATTTTTCTTGTGTGATTTTTAACAAAACGTGCATGAGGATGAGGGAAGTGTTATCCACATTACTGTGTATCTTCAGTCTGATACCCTCACAGTAGGTATTATATGTCTCAACCGATATACTCCTGTCCGCCACAAAAAAAATTATAGATGAGCTACTTGTCCATCTCCACTCACAGAATTTTTCCATCTAGGGCCTGAAATTGGTTGATCTTGATGTTTTTCTTGATCTTTGTGCTTATCTTGATCTTGACGCTTCTCCTGATCTTGATGATTATCTTGCTGTTGATATTTCTCTTGATCTTGATGCTTTTCCTGATCTTGATGCTTTTCCTGATCTTGATGTTTCTCTAGGTATATTCTTCTCTTGATCTTGATGCTTATTTTCTTGATCTTGATGCTTCTCTATGCTTCTCTTGATTCCTGTTGTGTATAGCAGATGGGTATACGGCAAACTTCAGGTCGCATTAGCTATTTCTGCTTCAAACATTACCTTCATTTTTCGGGGGCATTCTATGTTAATTTTTGTTGATCTCCTTTCATTTATGATGAATTTTAAAACATCAGTTTCTTCATAATGTTCCAGATTTCATCTGTAGGATAATCTGATTCTTGCACACAATTTATATTTGTGTTTCTGCACAGATCTTGGATATTGTCTGATAAACTTTGAGTATTTTCTTGGAGTATTCTTTTCTGGCCTTATTCTTAACTTGCTCTTTTAGTAGCATGGTTTTCTTGAAGGTCTCATCTTTGGGTTTTCTTTCTCCGGTATACGACTCACTTCTTGTTTTGAGTGAGACTCTGTTGTATTACCATTCCAGTGATGAGATTCACTGCATGATTCAACCTGTTTGACGTACCATGTTTTATTTTCATCAACGGTAAAGTTTGTATTTAATCTTTGTGAAGAAACAATCTCAAGGAATAATAATGAACTGACGAGGGTCAACCCAGACTTATTTTCAATAAATGTGGAACTAACATCTACTTTTTACTCTACAGAGGTTTGGTCCTTCACCAACACCGAATTTTAAAAACTCTTCATCACTCTTTAATAGGGTAAAAAAGGAAAATTGTTTCATTAAAATTTCGCATTTTTAATGACAAAATATATTTGCGCAACATTTTTTGCATTTCTTATTTTTGTAAAATAAGTTTTGCGAAAAAAAATGAGAAAATTTCATATTTCAATATTGCAAAAATTTCTCAAACAAAAAGAAATTTAAAAAAATGCAAAATTCTTGCTAAACCAATGGGCACAATCTAAACTTGTATGTTACAGCAAGGACCAGCTATCAACGTCAACAGAGACAAAAGTGGGGATGCTAACGTTTTCATTTTTCTCAAAAACGATCGTTTTGTGATGAAAACGATTGTTTTTTCAAAAAGTTCGTTTTTTAAAAAGGGTTGTTTTGAAAAACGGTCATTATTAAAAACGATCGTTTTTCAAGACGACCCTTTGTTAACGATCATTAACGACGACCCTTTGTTAACGATCATTAATGAAGAGTGGAAACTGACCTGAAGGGCATCAAGAAGTTTTAGCTCCCCCACATTGTTTTTAACTTTGTGTAAGACGACATTCCATAAAGTTGCATGTAATTATTCCAAATACAACCGTTTAATCTTTCAATGTCAAACCAATGGGCACGATCTCATGAGCTATCGATGTAAATCCGAAGCTCTGATTTGAAGTGCAGTTCAAGTTAATAATGGGTTATATTAGAGGTCTACAAACGTAGGTAGATAGTACAACGTGTGAAAGCATATTTTTTCACTGTAAGATATTATATATAAATCACAAATGACTTTAGAATACAGCTGTGCTCAATGTACTAACAGTGTACAAATTCAATATTGCCATCTACTGTACTTGACAATCTATTTGCTCCTACAGAAACCACAGACTAACCCGACTGCACATATGCTCTACCCGGATAGGCTAAGCAGGCCAAAAGTGTCCTGGCACGCCATGGAAGGTTTTTTGACTGCCATCTAATGGTCACATGTTGCTCTTGTAATAAATAATGACCTGATACAACCCCTCAACCCTTTGTCTGACTCTTAAGTTATTAGAGAGCCTAGAATTAAGGATTAACACACGCCAGGATCTTACCAGGATAGATGTTTGAGCCTTTGCTTCGTTGGTTCCATTTAAGGCCTGGGGATGTGTTCTTTTTTGACAGCTCTCCGGATACTTTAATATGCCTACTTGAGTACCAAGCCTCCTTCCCCATCAATATCCCAGAGGATGGCTTTTCAGTTTCATCAGCATCCCCAAGGGACCTTTGTCAATTAGTTTCTGGCACTGAAGGGAATTGTAACAGCCCCAGCTAGTCCAACTACAGATTAAGGTTGACAAGATGAAACTCTAGCTTTTTGTGATGGTTCATGTAATAGGAACATTCGAGATATAGGGCAGTTAGTACTTCTAAGACGTATAGAAGCTCCATCTTCTCCCAGTGGGGACATTTAAGATATAGAGCAGTCAGAATAACAGTACAGACCTATGACTCCAGGTGAAGAAGAGATCATGAGGATCTACGAGGACAGGATCTATTGTCTTCTGGACATGATTGAGGAACCAGTAGGTCTACATTTAGAAGGATAAAGTATCAGAGATGGAAGAAGCTGCTCTCTGCAAGCAGCTCCCAATCACCCTGTTGTGGAAGCTTACTTGGATTTAGAGTTGGAAAACTACTCCAGTTCCTACCCAGGACCCAGAGTTCCCTTTAACTCCAGGAGCAGCTATGATCTTAACAAAAGCAATCAATGTATCACCTGGTGATATGGAAGCTTATGTTGACCAACTACAGTACCTTGTGGAAAGACTGCTTCCCTGGTTGAAAGATGATATTTCCTCTTCTGGATCTTCAAACCATAGGACTCCTAGTCCAGATATAGCACAAGAGGATATATTGGAGTTTGAGTTTGAGCCCCTGAACCAGAGCAACTGGATGAAGCTGAGGCAGCTACTCAGATAAGCCCTGACTGGGAGCATCCACATGAAATATTTAAGTTATTGAGTCCCTGAATGACATTAAAGTGGTCATAATGTTGTCATACAAATTATCTATCTATCAGATAAGAATGTTTTGTGAGACATAGAGCGACTAAACTATCGTTCTTCAAAGTACGGGAACAAGACAACCACTGTGTAGACAAGATAAGGCCTCAGAAAAACAGCATACTGCAACTGTTATCCTATTGGCTAGGGGGTTGGTTTTGATCAGTCATGCATGTTATTCTTTATTTAATGTTTTGAAATATCTTTTACAGGGATAGATTTTGGTCATCAAAGTGGCTCACTTAAATTAACCCTATCCCCGCTGGGGTACTTGAAAACCAGGATACGCTGGCCGGGGGGGGTCAATTTGACCAACCCCTCTAAATCCCATGTTTTATGTCCAAATATGACAAATGATACATCATTAGAAAGCTCTTGTGCTCTACTTTTAGAATCTGCAAAAAAAATTGCAAATTTGCGAAAATTGAATTTTTTATCGCAAAATCCAGTTTTATAGTAAAAATGTTTGCAAAAAAAAAATTGTCCAAAAAATGACAAATTATACATTTTTGAAAAGCCCTTGACCATGCCATTTCAAATATGCAAAAATTTTTGCAAAATTTTAAATAACCTGATTTTTAATCAAGAAAAACTAAAAATGTGCAAATTTCCTTTGACAGGTTGTTTGCAAAAAATGTGCAATTTTTTTTTCGCAAAACTTGTGCAATCCGTTTCCTTATGTCATAGGCTTTCCAAAAAGCTAAATTTTATCAAAATCTGACAAGTGAAAGTGGGTCAAAACAAAGATTTAGTTTGCTACAGGCAAAAGCAGTCATTCAGGCAGTGTGCCTGAGGACTCAGGCAGTTAGTATTAAAGCCCGGTTTTAGGCCTAAAGGGAGGGCTTTGGGTATGTAAGAAAAGTCAGAAAATTTCAACAGCCTCAGACCAATACTTTTTGAGTTATGTAAAAAAAACTACAGGGGGGGGTCAAATTGACCCCCCCCCCAGCGGGAATAGGGTTAATCTAGTAACTTACAGTGCACAGGGTGTGGGAATCACAGTACTCCTGGCAAACAGTGGCTGATGCTGTACCACGTCTTTCTTGCAGACTATTCCCACCGCCCAAATCAGCAGATAAAATCTGTTTTCAATATTTTATTATAATTATCTGATGTATTAAAATTAAATTCCAACTAGGACTGGGCAAGGTTCTGAAACAACAATTTTTAAAAATTAACTGAAGATTTCATTAGTAAACGGCAAAACCGTTAATTTTAAAAACATTTTTGAAAAATATCTGTTTTTGACGTTTTCAATGTCTTCTTCTAACTTTCCTGCTACTTATTAAAAAGAAATATTTGCAGTTAACGATTATTAAAATTAAGATCAAATTTATAGGAAAAAGGGATCATATAGCTAAGAATGAATGGTTACCTAAAAAGTTGGTAACAATTAACAAAAGGCTTGAAAAATTCTGAATGTTCCCAACAAAAGCTCCTTCTCGCATTCACAGTAGTTTTTTCAGACTTATGTTTATCAACAGATGTAAATTTATGAAAATATAAAAATCTTAATAATAATTTCCTGTAGAGCTGTTAGATCATTATAAGCTTGGTTTCTAGAACACTTAAATCCAGGACAAACCAACTCTGATCCCCTGAACAGTTATCACTCAATTAACATAATTCTCACTGCTAACCCATAACATAAATTATTATATACTCTTTTATAATTCTTCTTTCAGAGAGTGTTTGAGAAAAAAAGAGGGCAAGCTATAGGCTTATGTCAAAAAATATTAAATGATGATTGCTACTAATCTTTTGCATCTATAAGGAGGAAATTGTTGAAAACAACTGATACCAAAGAACGTAGTGTCAATAAAAATTTATAAAGTTTCAATATTCGACATGGACCGAAAAATATATTAGTTTAATTCCAAACAAATCATTCAGATATTACGACCTATAGTCATTGATTTTTTTGTATATAGTTTATATTTCATAATATTTTTTATTTTTTATGATCCAAGAGTTACTTTTGAAAACATTCAATCCTATATCTAGGATTTTTGATGATGAAGAAGACATTTTTTATTTACATCTTTTGGTATCAGAATTGTGAATTTTCAATGTATACAACAAAATGTTCATATTTTGATTGCTCAAATTTTTTTTGCAGATTGGAAGAATTCCAATCAATAACAAAGTTACAGCAATTAAGACATTGACAAGATTAAAAGGACACCCTTTACACACCCTTTACACAGTATATGTAAGGTAAAACGAGACATAACAGCAAGTTAAATAATTGTGAAAATTCAGTATGGGGTATCCTGTTTTGGACAATAGGATTAATATAATGAGACTGAAGACTAACAAGCATGTTGTTGAAGCTGGAGTTAGATATCCACATGACCCAGAGGTAATGTTTGCAGGATTTGCCAAATTCCTCTAAAATAAGAATTTTCAAATCAAAACTTATAATTCTTGTTTTCATTTTTAAACAATTTAATATTCAACCATGGATATATATAGATATAGGGTGAGTGCCCATGGCTTTAGTCAAATAAAAATAAGATATGATTTTAAAAAAATAAAAATAAAAATTGGCCAAATTGTAAGTGGAAATTTGCAGTAAATGTTATCAAATTAGTATATTGGAACTGCTCTATGCCTTCAAAAATGCATATAATTGACTTACATTTTTTATATCTTATCTAATTTATGTCGAATTTTTATGAAATTATTTAAAAAAATCATAATAAACATTTTCCAAAATTTTTTCCACAAATTTTATTTTTTCCAAAAAATTGATTTCAATCACTTATTATTTCACAACCAATTATTATCATTAATATTGGATTAATTTGTAATCCAATATTAGCCTGTAAAACTAAACCAAAAGTTGTACGGAAAATAGAAATATTTAGTTTGTAAAAATTATTATTATTGAAACTGAATCACCTATTGCTGTTACAAATCCTGAATCACCGATTCATTACCTAAATCTTTAAAAATTTTTCATTTTGAATTGAATCAGAATTTGAACCGGGGGTAGGTAGCTCAACAACTTTTAACAACTCATTAAATTTAGTCTAGATCAAAGAAATTTTGTTCATTTGAAATAAAACAAAATTACCTCGCAGCATTTAAGACCACCAGCAAATGGGAAAGGATGAGTGTCAGGGCAGATGTTAGTCAACTGAAAATGTATTTTAATCATTTATTAATGAAGTTTTAAACTTTAACATTTTAATTTAAAAAAATTTTGAGTTATGGAGTTTGATTTAAAAACACACTTTTAATGCTGGGAAAAAAGGTTGTTTTTAAACCAATAATTTGTTATGTTTTATAAAAACTTTTTATACAATTTTTTACTTTAAATTTTTATTTTTATTTTTTATTTTTTTGAAATGTTTACCAGATAACCATGAAGGTCAATTTTAACAATTCATTCAAAATAGACTAGATATTGTAACTGGAAGCAAAACATTATTTAAACAAGACATCATCTCATTGGAGCAACAAAAAAAACTAGGGTTTTCTGACAATCTGTAAGCAAATAATTAATTCACAAAGGCATGGATGTCAATAGATTCTGTTTTAAGCACTGAACAAAAATATTTTGAATTTTTAATATGGAACCAAATAATATACTTCACTCAAAATTTAACATGAAATCAAAACTAAGAGAAGCTACAGTGTCGCAAAGTTTCATCAGTAATATATCAATTTTATCTTCTTATTCTTTCTCATTTGCAGAGTAAATTAAATAACGTTGAAATCATAAAACATAATAGTAATGTTATTTTTTAATAGAAAATTTGTCAAAAAATTCTTGTATTTTAATTCAAATCCAACAATTTTGAAAGTTTATAGAAAATAATAAGAAAGGAGAGTATTAAGTAATACCCTTTATGATACCCATATTTGTTTCCTCTGTATAAAAATATATTTACCGCTATTTTAATATCCTCCTCTTTGCTTGCTGTGTAGAAGAACCTTGAATTATATTCATTTCTGATCAAAATCTTATTAATTTCAAATATTTACATTTGACCAAAAACATTCTTATTGTTATTTTACTACCATACCAGCATTCATTAAACTGTTTATGTGCCCCAATAAACATGAGAATATAGTGAAGACTTGTATATCGTCTTTATTTCATTAACACAATTCTTGAAATATGATAGTTTAATAATAAAAACTGCCAATCTTAGGAGTTTTTAAACCTTCAAAATTTACAGGGATATTAAACTAAACAATATGAGTCCAATTTTTCATCCGATTCAATATACATCTTTTAAAATTTCAAATTACTGACATCTCCCGTAACTAAAGCATGACAGGGCAATTTGCCATTTTTGAACTGAACCAAATAAAGCTCAACACTTTATAATTCAGGGATTTTTGTACAAACTTAACTTCAAAGAATTTGTTTTATCTTGTAAAATGTTTTTGTTTTCCCTCTTTTAATATATTAATATTTTAACTACAATCAATTAAGAATAAAATGTTGGATTGAATCACAAAGAATATTGTTAGCTTACATTCCATCAGTGTTAAGTCGTATATCCTTATATCCATTTGATAATTCATCAGGACACAGTTCACACTTCTCCTTTAAACCATTTACAATTAATTTTTATACATTTTTAGTATTTCAAATCCTTATATATTTGGATATGTTCTAATTTTGTAGACCTTAGATATATCAAAATATGAATTCTTTGTAATAAAATAACTTAATTTTGAAATATTGAAGGTTGTAGAGATGCAAGGATGATGACCCAATTCCTAACTAAAAATCAAAATTTTACAATGTCCCAAACTCCCCCACACCACTGACATACCCTTTCCCCTCCTCTTCATATCCCCCTTTCTCACATCCCTCTGCTCTAATTTTTCCCATCCCAATCTCTTTCCTACCCCTTTGGTTAAAACATATATTTACATTTCCATGATTGAAGGCTTTACAGAATGAGTCCATGGTGCACAGCATCTAAATTTGAACGAATTAAATAATTTTATTATTTTCTTAACATCAGGTTTAGTACCCACTAACCTAGTACTCACAACCTTTTGCTCTGGTCTCTGTGTTATTTATGATAAAATTAATTGTTTATTACTTAAATCTATTGATTGGGTGTCTGCTTATTTGTTTGTATCCAATAAACGACAACTGATCAGGTCAATATTTTGAGTGGGACTTCACATGACCCCAGGGAAGGTTTATGGATGCTCAAAGCTGCAAAAAAAAGTATTTGAAAGTTTTTGATTTTTGTAAAATTTCAGAATTATTTAAAAATCTGTAAACTTTTTTTAGTTTTAGACTGTACAAAGCATCAACGTATTCCATTTAGACCTTTTAAACTAAGCTAAGAACATCCTGTGTTCCTTCCAAGTTCCTCAGTCAAAGTTTGAGACAAATCAGTTAAGAGATTCCTGAGTTCTGATCGAACATACAAATAAACAAACAGAGATTACTTTATATATATAGAAGATGCAAACCAGGAAAAATAGATATGATTGGTAATACTTGAAAAAGATTAACTACCTATTATTTTACTTTTTATCCAGACAAGTTACATTCCTACAGCCTAAGAGGGCAGAACTCTGCTCAGAAAGCTCTCTGCACTATTTGCAGTGGACTTTGAAAAAGGTGTCTACACATAGGAGGGAGGGAAGACCAAGCAGCCCTGAACCCCTTGCTCAATAACCTAGCTTCTTCCCTAACTCACAGCTGGGGTACTAAGTCAAGAAATAGTAATAACAGAGAGCTAATATGTCTAAAACTAATCTGGTTTAATACCCACTGCACTGAGCAATCGGAGCCTGCGCTATTATATATCATAAAAAAATGGTGAAGTTTTTGTATATTTTATTGATCAAAATTAATAACTCATTTTTAATTTGACTAGTGAGAATGGGGATCAGGATTGATCTTAGAAGGATCTGGACTGGGCAGAGTTGGAGCCTATAAATGTTAAAGAAAGTCCTGACTGGACGTTGCACTGATGGAGTTCTAGGAGGTCCAGACTGAAAGTTGCTCTGATAAAGTTCTAGGAGGTTCGGACTGGATGTTGCTCTGACAAAGTTCTAGGAGGTCCAGACTGGACGTTGCTCTGATGGAGTTCTAGGAGGTCCAGACTGAATGTTGCTCTGACAAAGTTCTAGGATGTTCGGACTGGATATTGCTCTGACAAAGTTCTAGGAGGTCTAGACTGGATGTTGCTCTGACAAAGTTCTAGGAGGTCCAGACTGGACGTTGCTCTGATGGAGTTCTAGGAGGTCCAGACTGGACATTGCTCTGATGGAGTTCTAGAAGGTCCAGACTGGACGTTGCTCTGACAAAGTTCTAGGAGGTCCAGACTAGATGATGCTCTGATGGAGTTCTAGGAGGTCCAGACTGAATGTTGCTCTGACAAAGTTCTAGGATGTTCGGACTGGATGTTGCTCTGACAAAGTTTTAGGAGGTCCAGACTGGATGTTGCTCTGACAAAGTTCTAGGAGGTCCAGACTGGACGTTGCTCTGATGGAGTTCTAGAAGGTCCAGACTGGATGTTGCTCTGACGAAGTTCTAGGAGGTCCAGACTGGATGATGCTCTGACAAAGTTCTAGGAGGTCCAGACTGAATGTTGCTCTGATGGAGTTCTAGAAGGTCCAGACTGGACGTTGCTCTGACGAAGTTCTAGGAGGTCCAGACTGGATGATGCTCTGACAAAGTTCTAGGAGGTCCAGACTGGACGTTGCTCTGATGGAGTTCTAGAAGGTCCAGACTGAACATTGCTCTGACAAAGTTCTAGGAGGTCTGGACTGAAAAATGGTGGAGCTCGGAAAGATCTGGAGATGGTTGACGAATCCAAGTTATCAGCGAGAATAGATCTGTAATCCAGTTCCTTATCAATATGGCCTGGGCAGTTTGGATTTAATAAAGATAAAAAGTTATTTTATTATTAAATGAATTATTCGACTTGGAGATCCTAAGTCCCAGCAATTCTGATGGTCTGGATTGATCTGAAGATACGTCTTGATCTCTAGAGAGTGTTCTTAGAACTAACTGGAAAATTGGTTGTTTTATAGTTTCTAAACCATGCCTGCCCTGTAACCTGGATTCATAGCCGTTTGGTGGTTTAAGGGTGTTTACTAAAGCTTTTAGGGTTAAAGTTCATTTTTATACAAAAGGTTATTTTTGCAACATAATAACTGTTAATATACATTTTAGGTTTATAAAGTTTGCACCGTTACGTTTCTTAAGGGTGTTTATAAAGTTTGAAAAAGTCCTGATAGGCAGTGAGGGTTTATAGTTTCAAAGCAAAATGTTCTTGACGAGGGGTTAGAACATGGTTCAATGAATGTTAGAAGTGAAACATTCAGATAGATACATGATTTCTCTCTTGAACTCTCAGAAAGTATATCCAAGTGTAAAGATAATGTTAAACTCCTTGACAATATATATAAAAACATAATTCTAAAACAGATTCTATAAATATTAACTTTTAAATATATTAGACCAAAACTGCTAGTTTTATACTGTACCTTTTACATATATTGCAAAGATGAGCGTTTATAAATTAAAACTTCAATTTATTTTCATTTTATTTATTGATTTACTTCCCAAAGTTGTTCTTTTTCTAATTTCCTTTTTACTACTCATAGACTCTGTGTAAAAGTAAACTTACTTACTTATCCAAATGTGTATTTTACTAACTTTAGTCACAGAGTAAAGAATAATACAAAATACATCGTTTATATAGCAAACTAGATTCAGGAACGCCTTTTTTGTGCAGATGCAGCATGTGTCTATATTGCCTGAAAAGGTTAAAAAGACCTTTATGTAAAAAGGCCAAAGCTGAAAGTTTCATAAAGGTTACTGCGTTAAGAAACAAGGAAGTAAATTCAAAGCTAAGCAACAAGGAAGATATTTCTGATTATTTCTAGTTATTTGTTGTACATTTAAACAAGCCCTATCTGGAAGGGCACTAATTCACAGTTGACAAAAAGGGACATCTTCGCATTCTGCATGCAACAGTGCACACTAAATGTAATACTACCTTTAAAGGAATTTTGCTAGTCTGAGAAACAGTATAACATGTGGTCAAATGAAGTTTTATTTAGAAAAATATACGCCCCTCCTACAAACCCTTATCCTCATCTCTACTCTCCTTTACCTACCATCTAACCTTCTCACAAACAGTGAAATGAGATACAAATGAAATGATACATTTTTCTGTTGGATCCTACAACAAAATTTCCTCTGAGTGGGTCATTTGATGTATGAACCAAGTTCAATAATACGTAGATGAAGCAGGAACCGAGTTTAAACCAGGAAGATTATCTGAATTGTACTTAAAGAAGGAGTTGGAGAATATACCATCTAGCGGGGTTCACAAACACTTTATATTTGGCAATGTTTATTATCAATTGGAATAAAATATACATTATTAATAGTATCATTATAGAATAGTTTAAACCTTCCAAATTCTGTTTCAAAATGCTGAACAATTACCTTAAAACACTACCTTAATAATGCCATTTCAACATAGTTTTTTTACATACAAAAAAAATCAGCACCCTGTATATTCTTTTCTTATTCTTTATTTGTGACTTAAATATGTTAGTTTACACTTCCCTCTCCCCAAACCCCCTTTCCTCGCACCTCCTCCCCCCTCCTGTCATGTCCTTGCTCCCTGTATCCCACACCCGCCTCCTTTCTTACTCAGGTTTGGTTGGAATAGAAGGGGGGGGGAAGGGGTAACATAGATTTTTGACTTCCCAAGGTCAATAGAGGATGATGAAGATAGTTTAAAAGATAGCAAATGTAGATATTATGAAACTTTAGAATTTTCAAACGTTTTTAAAGAAAATTATGATTTTGCAGCTATTTCATTGAACATACGAAGTTTACCAGGAAAATGGAACAATTTTTCGGACTTTTTACTAGATCTTAATCAAGGTGAATTTAAGTTTGATATAATCTGTATGCAAGAAGTTTGGACAATACCTAAATATTTCAAAACGAATATCCCTGGATATAAGCCTGTAGTACACAAACTGCGCAATCAAATGGATAATTTGTGTTCAACTGTAGGGGGAGGGGTAGCATGTTGGGTAAAAAATGAACATGATTTTGAGGTCCTAGAAAATATATCTGTCTTTGAGGAAAGAGATTTTGAATCTATCTTTTTAAAAGTCAAAGTTTCTTCAAAGAAATTTAGAATTATTGGTAATGTATATAGACCTCACTAGTCACATATAGGGTCTTTAGGGTTTTTGGAGTTGATCTAAAAAAGCAAGTATACAGTGTTGTTCTATGATGGTATAGTAACAGATTCACAGATGTAGAGCCCCTTATGCAATTGCCATTTGAAATAGTAATAAAAAAGTTTGTAAATTTCCAGAAAAAGAAAGAAATGTGAGTAGAAAATCTGCCAAATTAGAGACATAAATCTGCTAAATTAACATTTTTTGTACAGTTCTCTGATAACAAAATACATTCAATCATAATAATATTTAAAGTTAAACAGTATTACCATGCCTAAAAATCATATTGATTGTCGAAATGTAGTTTGTGTGACATGTGGAGTTAAAAGTTTAAAATGTATCAGCCTGGTAAGTTGTGAAGAAGGGGAGATATTGCAAGACTTTATAAAAATCTTCATTAACCCAGATTTCAACTCAAATATTTTCTCCAACCCTGTCTGAATCTGCATATCCTGTAAATGTAAGTATTTTTTGATAAAAAAGATATTTATGTTGTGAATGTTTTTATGTTACATACTGTAATGTTTGTCAGATAAATGATATTTTCCATTTGCTTTTTTAATCAAATAATATGGTTCAGATAAAAACTTCAGTGCATCTTTAAGTAAAGTTGTAAATACTTTAAAGAATTAAATGTAAAATGTTTTAAATTAAAATAAGAGATTGCGTATATAAACACAAAAATTGAAACAACTTAAGTTATTTATTGTATCAAATTGTAAAATACACAGGTCGGTTAAATGATCTACGCCGAGGTGAGAATGTATCTGTAAATGTGCTTATGAAGTGGATTTTGAATACTGAAAGGCTGAAATTATTACCGAGATTTAAAGGTATTGTTTTCATTTTTTGCTTATACCTAATTTTCTTTTCATTACAAAAATAATTAGTATATATATTTATGAAAGATCTTGATTACTTGTCACAAACTCTATTCATCTAAGCATTTTATCTTTGCAACCTAATTAGTTACAATTAAGATACTTCAAAATTTGAATATTTAATCTAGCAGAATTCATAGTTTTATATGTCAGGTTTCAAAGATATATGGATTAGAAAATTAAAGATTTAGCTAAGAAATAACTTGTATCAGATTTACAACTAATGACTGAAAGTTATGGGGCAGGGGGGGGGGTGTTGAAGAGTCCCCTTCTGTTTTAACTGTAACATTTTAGCTGAACAAGTTGTAGCAAAAGCTTTGAAGGTTTAGAAACCCTTTTTCTTCCTTTACACATTATATAAATTCATAGTTCTAATCAAACAGATTTTCATGGTAATTGCAAAACTATCAGTAGGAGGTTTGCGAGCAGAAAAATTCTAAGCAAATCTTACTGACCACTCAAGGAACTCCCATGCCAGTCAGTATTGGCCAAGCACCGCATAAAACAATATCATCTGAAACTCTTTTTGATCTGAAGAGGAAGCATGATTTTGGAGATTCTATTATAGACTCAGTTGCTGCTGCCTGTAGGAAAGACCTTGGTCGGAAAGGTGTTGAGGCAAATTCCAGCTTAAAGATTAAAGAGAAATCTCATGTATTAGATGAATTCTACACTGTGGAACAAGTTGAGTTTGAAGAAAAAACCAAGGTGGCGAACAAATATGTTTCCAGAACAATTTCTAAAGATCTTGTCTATACTAACAACCTCTCTGGACTCCTTTACCACATCTGTGATCAGCTGGAATTAAACCCATATGAAGTTATTGTCAGTGTTGGAATTGATGGCAGAGGATGCTCTCTGAAGTTAATCATGAATATTTTTAATCCGAACTTAGAGAACACCTCTATCTCTAAAGACACTGGAGTCAATAAGGTCATATACATAGCAGCAGTCAAAGACATCCCAGAAACTCATGGAAACTTGGAGACAATATTCCAGAAAACAGGTCTCAATGAGCTCAAGTATTATGTAGCAGCAGATATGAAACTCTTGAATATTTTGCTTGGCCTAAGTGCACATGGTGGAAAATTCAGCTGTCTTTACTGTTCTGGGACCATAGGTGATTATATTGATGTTTAGATTTGCTATGATTGGGATATCTTAATTTTTACTTGAAATATAAAGGAGTTGAGCCATTGTCACAAACTATGATTTTCTAATATCTATATCTTTGCAACCCAATGGTGTAGACCTTAAATATTTCAAACTATGAATTCTGTTAGATGAAGATAAGATAAGATAAGATAACGTTTATTGCTAAAATAAATGTATCTGTATACAGATAGAGTTTACAATCACAAAATTGATGATTATATTAACAGTACAAGTATAAAGTACCCCGTTCCCGTCTGCGCGCAAGTTTTCATTTTTCGTGCCGCGTTCAATTCATCTTTTTACACAGGCAATACAAAATCTTTAATGCGATAAAATAGTCTTATTTTAGAAATAGAAAGTTAGAAAACAAAAAAAATACAAAATAATGACATTTACAATCAACGAACACATAATGACATTAAAATATGATAAATTTAAATTTTATTGGGCTGCTGTTACTGAAAAAAACATCAATTAGTGTCTATAGAGAGGGACCGTCCCTTTGCGCTCAAATTCTGAACGAAAAATCGTCTTTTTCTCCGGCCACAGATGTCTTTGAAAAGTAAGACTATTACCAATGAATAGCGCTTAGGCTGTTTAGTTTACCCTGAAATTACCCAAACAAGTGAACGGTCCCTTTAAGAGAATGCACTATTTCTAAATGATGTGGCACATCATCATTGAGATTCTTTTTTACATAATTAGGAAAACATGATTTTAGAAGAGGGGTGGGAAACAATTATGTTCAAGCTAATACATACGTCCTTGTGTTCATTTAATTCCCTTTCTTTGTGAATAACCATGTATATAAATGATCTTTATAGTAAACTAATTAAAAACTAAATCAGTTTTATAAATGAAACACAATTAAACCTATTATTTGATATGCAGTTTGTGTCTGAGCATGTTGAAAACCTTGGATTCAGTTTAGAGCTAAGTAAGAAGCAAACAAAAGGAGACTAAGCTCCTTTGATTTTTTACAATAGAACCATTTGTCAATATTGATCAATTTTTCACCAGAATTATCTTAATCCCTTTATTTTTGGAACCCACTGACGTAGTCCTTTGATATTTCAAACTAGATCAAATAGTCGTATGTCTGAAATATCAAAGGTTTTCACCAAGCTTAAGGTTGATAAGATATAGGGATGAGAAAATTTGAGTTTGTGGCAAAAATTCAGTTCCCTTAATTAATTTTAGAGAAAAATTTTATTTAGGATGGAAAGGACATGTGCTTATCTATCATGTGGAAGAGTTTTTGAAACGGACCGGGAAACCACTTGGAATTTATACAGAACAATGCAGTGAAGCAGTCCATGCCAACTTCAAAAAGACATATAAGAGATACGCTTGTAATGAGGCATTTGAAGGGCATGGAGAAAAGCTGTCTCAAGTTATTCGAGCATGCGCATTTAGAATTCATCTAGTTTGTAAAATTTGTAAACCCAACTTTGAATATTGAATATGTAAACCAAATAAGTAGGAAGGAAAATAAGGAAGAAAATATATACTTTAAAAAGTCTATTTATTTTTTAGGCTCTACATGAAATATTTCAAACTCATCGTGAATCTGTTACTATACCATCATAGAACAACACTGTATACTTGCTTTTATAGATCAACTCCAAAAACCCTAAAGACCCTATATTTGACTAGTGACCTCCAAACTCTGATATCATTAAGTTTACTGAAATTATGGAATCTATTCTAAAAAATATTTCATCCGACAAATCACTGAGTAAAGCTGAAGAAATTCAAATCATGGGTGACCTAAATATTAATCTGCTGAATCACACTTTTCACAATGCTACATCTAACTTTTTAAACACCCTGTTAACACATTCACTTCTTCCGCTAATTACACTCCCTACACGTATTACTCAAACATCTGCAACATTACTAGATCACATATTTAGTAATTCAGATCCTGAGTCAAAAGAATGTGGAATCATCTACTCAAGTTTATCTGACCATTTACCCGTTTTTTCATTGTCTAAATGTACACAGCATGAAGATAATATTGGTAGCAAACCAGTTCTAATTAGAAACACTTCAATCGAAAATAAAACCAAGTTTAAGGAAAAATTGTTACTCAATGACTGGACTCATGTTATGATAAATGAAGATCCTTCTACAGCCTTTTCTGAATTTTCTAACACTTTAAATAATATTTATGAAGAAAGCTTTCCATTTATCAAATATAAACCAAACAAAAATAAAAATTCTGTTAACCCTTGGTTTACGTCCGCCTTGCTAATGTCAAGAAAACAAAAAGAAAAATTATTTAAGAAAAAAATCCTGAATCCAACTACAAACAATATAGAAACTTTTAGAAAATACAATTCTGTTTATTGCACAACAATAAAAAAGGCCAAGACTAGTTATTTTTCTTCAAAATTTACAGAATACTCAAAAGACATCAAAAAGACCTGGTCTTTACTAAACTCTATTATATCTTCTAAGAAAAAAAGTCATTCAGTTCCTGAAATTTTCACTGATGATGAAAAAAGTTTTGTGGGATCTGCTGAAATAGCAGAGGGTTTTAATGACTTTTTTGTGAACGTTGGACCCAGATTGTCTAGTTATATTCCGGATTCTAATGTTAATTTTGAAAAAAGATGAACATTTGAAATTATTAACTATGCACCCTACCATTTTATTTTATAAAAATTATTGCAAAAATAAATTATAAAACACCTGTAAAAAAAACTTTATAAAAAATTTTAGGCAAATTGGTCAAAGGGTTTATAAATCATGATTGGACTTACAAACAGAGATTTCTACTTTAGAAATAGATGATATAGGATGGGATTAAATGAAGGGTATGTGGCGCCCCTGGATTCCTTGAATGCAGTACACAGCATATTCCATACTTCATATGTTATTGTTTAGATTATGATATACTGCATCTGGTATTTGATAAATATATATTTAGTCAGTTTATTTGGTCTTATTCATTTGGTCTTATTTATTTCGTCGCTACAGGTAAACATAAATGCTGTTCTAATTATTATTAAAGGATGTTTTACTTTTAGATATAATAATAATAATAATAATGATATTTATTGGTGAATATCAGTTAAATTTACAAAATTGTCATAAAATAAAAAAACATGTATATGTAAATGTACAATATTGTTACAAATAATATTTTCTTCTATTTAGAATAGCAAAAAGATATAGCTAGCATAGCTGTTTGAATCCAACACTATTAATTATGATTTTAAAAAATGCGACAATACTCAAATATAATGCAGTCAATTTAAAAAATTAAATACAGGAATGAAATTATGTTACATTAAAACTTTTTAAATTATGTATTATTCAAAAATATTTCAATCCTCGAAAATTTTGCAATAGTTTTTTAGCTGAAATTGAACCTTTTTGTGTCCTGACTTTCACATAAAAAAGACGAAAATTAGTGATGAATGTATGTTTCATTAAACATTTTTTTAATTATGAATTATTTAAAAATATTTCAATCCTTGATAATTTAGCAACATTTTTAGCTGAAATTAAACCTTTTCGTACGTGGGCCCAACTTTTCACATAAAAAAAGATGAAAATTAGTGATGAATGTATGTATTGACAATCCTTCACCCAAAAAATCTAGGGATGGGGGGATTGGGTGTAATTAAAATAACCTATTTAATTTGATACCTTGCATTCCATTAAACTGGTAGTTTGTTGAATACTTGTACATCCAACCCCTCGGGTTACTTTTTTCTAAATAAATATTTAGTAAAGGGATTTTAAACATGATTTCAAGTAAACCTCCATTGAAAAGTAATATGTATGAGTACAAATATATTTTGCCAGATAAAGTACAAATATATTTTGACAGATAAATTACAAATATATTTTGACAGATAAATTACAAATATGTTTTGCCAGATAAAGTACAAATATATTTTGCCAGATAAAGTACAAATATATTTTGACAGATAAAGTACAAATATATTTTTGTCTGGGAAACTGATTATGTATTAATTCTACCCCAAGTATAGCTTTATCTTTCCATATCACATAAAAATACAACATTTTGGTCTTAAGAGTGAAAAAATCCAGTTAAAATCCCAGGATTTACATCAAACCCTAAACCTGTGAAATATAATTTCAAGATAATCAAAAAAAATAACTATGATGAAGATGAAGATGATTATGATGATTATAATGAAGATGACGATGATGATGATGATAATGATGATAATGAATAATGATGAATATTGATGAATAATGATGAATAATGATAAATAATGATGAATAATGATAAATAATGATGAATAATGATGAATAATGATGAATAATGATAAACAATTATGAATAATGATGAATAATGGTGAATAGAGATAAAATATGATGAATAATAATAATGAACTATGATTATGTATTATGATAATGAATTATGATGATGAATAATAATGATGAATAAGATGATGAATAATGATGAAGATGAAGATGATTATGATGATTATGATGAAGATGACGATGATGATGATGATAATGATGATAATGAATAATGATGAATATTGATGAATAATGATGAATAATGATGAACAATGATGAATTATGATGAATAATGATAAAAAATGATGAATAATGATGAATAATGATGAATAATGATAAACAATTATGAATAATGATGAATAATGATGAATAATGATGAATAATGATAAAAAATGATAAATAATAATCATGAACTATGATGATGTATTATGATAATGAATCATGATGATGAATAATAATGATGAATAATGATGATGAATAATGATGATGAATAATGATGAAGAATTATGACGAAGAATAATGATGATGATGATGATGATGATGATGATAATGATGATGATGTTAATGATGATGATAATGATGATGATGATCATAATGATGATAATAATGATAAAAGATGATGATGATGATAAAATAATGATGATGATGTTGATGATTATGATGATGATGATGATGATGATGATGATGATGATGATGATGATGATGATGATGATGATGATGATGATGATGATGATGATGATGATGATGATGATGTTGATGATGAAGATAATGATGATGAAAGATGATGACGATAATAATAATAATGATAATAATAATTAAAAAATTTTATTTTATTTTATTTTATTTTATTGTTAATTTTTAATTTTTAATTATTTAAATTTTTCATAAAACCGAATTTTGAATATTACTGGTTTTTGACCTATACAATATAATAAAACTTATGACGTGTTGTTTGTACGGGTGATCTGCTCCGACCACTTCAGAGTTCCATCAGTTTGGACCTTTTGGAAAAAAGAAAATATAGTCTATCATCGGCTCATAATTGTTAATATCTAAACTTAAACTGGCTTTATTTAATGTTTGGTAATGTTTTAGTCTATTTTAAACACTCCAACTGGTTATTTCTATTATTATTATTAACATTTGCTTAAATCCAATTGATTACTAAGAAGAACCTAGGATGATCATTTTAGGAAAGAATTTTGAGGAAAGATGAAGATAATGATGATGAAAGATGATGACGATAATAATAATAATGATGATGATGATGATAATGATGATGATGTTGATTATGGTGATGATGTTAATGATGATGATGATAATGATGATGAAAGATAATGATGAAAATAATGATGATAATGATATGAAAGATAATGATGATAATAATAATGATGATGGTGTTGATTATACTGATGATGATGATGATGATGATGATGATTGTAACCTTGAGAAAAAGTGAAGGCTCCCCTGAACTTTTAGAGCTCATCAGCAGAAGGCTAAATATAAGAATTGTAAATTTCATTTTATATTTAAGATTTAGAAAAATTACTAAGCAATTTAGAAATTATTAATTTTATTATTCTCGTCAACCCTTAATTAGAACTTTAGACTGGTTTTTAAACTTCTTACATCTTTGTTTGATGGGTTTGGTAAGAAAAATCTCTGTTTATTTTGAATCTTTTTTCTGAATTAGAAATTTATTTTCCTATGTGTGAACAGAAGGAATATGTGACATTTTTGCAAGATCGTCGACCTTGTAACTCCCCTAGTTTAGATTTTATGCAACAATTATAAGAACATTAACTTAATCAGGTTACATGTTAGAATTCAACACATTTTTGTTTTTCTAGCTCTTCAATTAGAGGAATTATGATTAGAAACATGAAACATTACTCACTATACGTCCTTACTGTGAATCCTCAATGTTCGTCCTTACTGTAAATTCTCGATAGCCGTCCTTACTGTGAATCCTTAATATTCGTCCTTACTGTGAATCTTCAATATGCGTCCTTACTGTGAATCTTCAATATGCGTCTTTAAAGTTAATCCTCAAAATGCGTCACTTTGTTCTAACTGTGAGTCTTAGCTGTGTGTCCTTATTGTGAGTCCTCAATGTGTGTCCTAACTGTGAGTCCTCATTATGTTCGTCTTAAATGTTTGTCCTTACTCTGTGTCTTCATTGTGCGCTCATTAATTAGTCTTTCATCAGTGTTCGTCAGAATTATTTCGTCCTTTTTTACAATAAAGAATATTGATACATTTAGATCAAATAATTAAGTTCCTTGGTTTAGTATTTACTAGCCCAGAATCCCAGCTTTGCCTAGAGATCTAAGCTAAGAATATTGATACATTTAGATCAAATAATTAGGTTCCTTGGTTCAGTATTTACTAGCTCAGGAACCCAGCTTTGCTAGAGATCTAAGCTAAGAATATTGATACATTTAGATCAAATAATTAGGTTCCTTGGTTTAGTATTTACTAGCTCAGGATCCAGGTTTGCCTAGAGATCTAAGCTAAGAATATTGATACATTTAGATCAAATAATTAGGTTCCTTAGTTTAGTATTTACTAGCTCAGGATCCAGGTTTGCCTAGAGATCTAAGCTAAGAATATTGATACATTTAGATCAAATAATTAGGTTCCTTGGTTTAGTATTTACTAGCTTAGAATTCTAGCTTTGCCTGGAGATCTAAGTATATTCTAATTCCTCTAGTTATTCAAAATTTGAGGCAAATCGGTGAAGGGGTTCTTAAGCTATCATTTGATATTCAAACATAAACAGACAAACAGAAATTACTACTAAATAGATAGATAGATAGAAAGATAGATAGATAGATAGATAGATAGATAGATAGATAGATAGATAGATAGATAGATAGATAACCTGATAAAAAATACTTTTTTCCTCATACTCTGTTCCTGTAGTGAGTGTGTTTGTTCTACTGTGCAAACATTCAAACATTATTTAATAGATTGATATTATAACTTTTCATACTAATTTAAACTTTTTATATTAATGTTTTAGTTCAATCATTATTTGATAGATTGATATTTCAACTTTTCATACTAATTTAAACTTTTATATTAATGTTTTAGTTCAATCATTATTTGATAGATTGATATTTCAACTTTTCATACTAATTTAAACTTTTATATTAATGTTTTAGTTTAGGACAAGTTGAAGTGAAATTGAAAATGGTCGATATTTTATCAACGGGTGGCTGGTTTTTTTTCATTAACTTTTAAATAATAACATTATTAAGAAGAGATCATAATAAAAAGGAAAACTTTAACTCTTGCATTCTCATTTTTGACATTAAAACCGTGAATTTTTGGATTTTTTGTAAAAAAATTTTTTTTATTAATGCATAAGGTAGGGTACAGGGCGGTGAAAAGTTTGGTCAATGTAAAAAAATCTCAAATAACCCATAACTTTTTTGTGACTAAAGGTACAGATCTAAAAACTATATTTTTGGAAAGCCATTGAAAAATGGATGGAGAAACATGTGTCACACTTTGATATTTGATGATGGCAGGGTCCCCCAATTTTATAACTTTTCATGAACAGTCAAAAGACATATTGTAGTAAAAAATCAAAGTCCAAAGTCAACTGCCTGACTGACTAGATACGGCCTGAAAAAGTCTTTTTGGTGTGATATTTAAGGATTCCACTTCAAAAACCCTTGATAGGCACACAGTTTGTTTTTAATCTTTGTGAAGAAACAATCTCAAGAACTGACGAGGGTCAACCCAGACCGAAATATATTTTCAATAAATGTGGAACTAACACCTACTTTTTTTACTCTACAGAGGTTTGGTCCATCACCATCACTGAATTTTAAAAGTACTTAAACAGTCATACAGTTCACTGTATATTTTCATGCATTAAGACTGTTAAGGACAACTCACAAAATTTGGAGACCCTGCCGGCTGCCATGCATTAACATTTAAAAAAATATCGAGAAAAAAAAACAGAATCAGCATAATCAAGTCTTGAAACTAAAGATACATTTGTTTTTAGACCAGAAACTGCACTTGATTTCTACAATATCTTTAAAATGAATTTACTCAAATTTTTTTGAAAATTGTGATTATGTAGACTACATATTGATATATTCCAATGAAAAAGTTTGGGGGTTTTGACTTGAAACCTGATTGTCTATTTCAGAAGTGTGAACTTGAGTCTAAAAGTCAAATTCCTATTTCATAGTTTTCTGGTTATCACTGTATTTCATTTATTTAATTTTTTACAATATCTGCCCTGTTTCATTTTGCAAATCTTAAACTATTTTTTTTTTAGTTTTTCACATATATTGTTATATTGGTTTATTTTATAACAAGCCTGACGTAAATCCTTGGTAGTTTCCAGATCCATCAATGCTGCAAATATTTCACTCTAGATCCCTGTAACCTGTACCCTTGTTTTAGTATCAATCCCTTTAGTAACCTTTCTGTTCCTGTCTCTCAGAGTATGAATCAATTGGGATTAATCAATTTAAATAGTTTATTTGATAAACACATCTGTACGTTTATTCAGGTATAAGTTCCTTCAGATATGCAGCTGCTGCAGTTCAGGATCTGTTCCAATAGCTTCCTCTATTACTCTATCTTGTTTAGCTGCTCCAGTTCAGTATCTATCTAGGCAGCTTCTCCAACTTAATATCTCATTTAGCTGCTCCAGTTTAGTATCTCTTACACTGCAATCTGAGCTGCTACTCCAGCTGCTACCAGAGTAGCCGTTACTTTAGCTGCTCTTACAATATGGGATACTTCCACTACACTCCGAGCTACTTCCTTTACTAACAGAGGTGCTCTTGAAGTCCCCGCTATGTTAATTGTTCTTCCTTTCTTAGATGCTCTTACTATGTTCTCAGCTGCTTACAGTTTGAGTTGCTGCCTTAGCTATTCACAGAGTCTCTTCTATGTTAGCCTTACTTACAGTTTGAGTTGCCTTACAGTTTGAGTTGCTGCCTTAGCTATTCACAGAGTCTCTTCTATGTTAGCCTTACTTACAGTTTGAGTTGCAATTAGACTCTCTGCTATGTTAGTCTTACTCGCAGTTTGAGCTGCTCCTAGAGTCTCTTCTATGTTATCATCATTGTTATCCTCGTTGTTATCATCATTGTTATCATTATTGTTATCCTCATTGTTATAATCATTGTGATCATCATTGTTATCATCATTGTTGTCATCATTGTTATCATCATTGTTATCATCATTGTTATCCTCATTGTTATCCTCGTTGTTATCATCATTGTTATCCTCATTGTTATCATCATTGTTATCCTTGTTGTTATCATCATTGTTATCATCTTTGTTGTCATCATTGTTATCATCATTGTTATCATCATTGTTATCATCATTGTTATCCTCGTTGTTATCATCATTGTTATCCTCATTGTTATCATCATTGTTATCATCATTGTTGTCATCATTGTTATCATCATGGTTATCATCACTGTTATCATCATGGTTATCATAATTGTTATCCTCGTTGTTATCATCATTGTTATCCTCGTTGTTATTATCATTGTTGTCATCATTGTTGTCATCACTGTTATCATCATGGTTATCATTACTGTTATCATCATGGTTATCACAATTGTTATCCTCGTTGTTATGATCATTGTTATCCTCATTGTTATCATCATTGTTGTCATCATTGTTGTCATACTGTTATAATCATGGTTATCTTTACTGTTATCATCATGGTTATCATAATTGTTATCCTTGTTGTTATCATCATTGTTGTCATCATTGTTATCATCATGGTTGACCCACCTCGGAAATTCAAATGTACTACAGCTGCTTGTGTCACCAATAAGTGGAGCAATGGTTGAAAATGGAGCTTGGCGTAGTACAGCTCTATTATTTTTACTAGGTTTTGTAGTTTTTATTTTTGAATGAAAAATGGATTTAAATGTTATATGTGACCTTCTGTAAGTTGTAAATAAAAAACCGTACTTTAACCTCTTCTCATACTAGAAGAGACCTATGTATATAATTATACAAGATTTTTATGTAAGACCTAGTGGCAATGTGGAGGGGGGCTGTATGTAAATGTTTTAACAGTTACCTGTTGGAAAGGGGTGTAAATAAAAAAATAGAATATTTTTAAATTCAAAAAAAGTAATTATTCATTATTTCATTCATAGATTCAGACCCCCCAGCCTTTATAGGGTTAATGCAAAAATCAATGAGAATTGTGTCAATAAAAACATAAATAAACGTTTTATACGTTCTTAAATGCACATGTCTAGGGCTACAAAAAAGTAAATGTGAGCTTTAGGCCAAATCAAAGACCAAGTAGTCATTTTGACACACAAAAATCGATCCAGTTTTCATATTACTAACAGAGGTCTAGCTCTATCATTCAAAACTGATGAGCAAAACTGATCAAAACAGTTCATATTCATAAAAGACCAAGTACAATTCTCAGTTTTCATGGGGAATTCCACTCAATAAAGACAAATATATTTCAACAAATGAAAATTTTAAAATGAAAAATTATGGAGTAGTGTATAAAGAATTCGCTTATTCAAACAAAGAACCCGTCCAAGCAGTCTGCAGTATTATTTACCTTTGCAAAACAGACGGGTATTTAAAATTAGCTATAGTAGGCAAAATTGCAACTTTTTCAATTCTATGTTCAAGCAGAATTTTTATTTTTTGTGGCCAATATTAAACATATTTTTAGACTTATAATTGTTAACTGATAGTAATGTTTTACAACCTTCAGTGTATTAGTTTTATTTGATATAGATTTTTTGTTTTGTCGCCAATATTTATACTAAAATATCTTGTAATTGGTATATATCATTAGAGATACATAATTTATATCTTGTAATTGGTATATATCATTAGAGATACATAATTTATATCTTGTAATTGGTATATATTATTAGAGATACATAATTTATATCTTGTAATTGGTATATATTATTAGAGATACATAATTTATATCGCCAATATTAAACATATTTTTATACTTGTATACTGTTTCTTTAATCATAGGGGTGGGGGGGTGGTGGGTATTTTTGTATATTAATAGAGTTTATTTAATATATAGATACTTTTTTATGTTGCTAATATTTAATATATATCCTTTTTATATCGCCAATATTTAATCAGAAAATTATTATTTTTAAACTTTGTTTTATAAGTCGTAAAGTTAAAATACATATTTAAAAAATATAATTGTATTTTTATATGATATACAAATATTTGTTTTTATCATATTTTAAGATTTTAAAGAAATGAAATCATTTCCATCATAAAAGGAGGGATTTTTAATCTGTTTAAATCCTTAAGCCTAGTACTTTTGCTTTCATAAAAAATGTAAGGCTTAAACATTTTAAATTAAATATTAACCGTTCCCTTATAATATCATTTTGACTTTACTGCAAAGTTTTTTATTGGGTTGGCTTTATTGGTCCTTGAAATATATGCATTTGTTTAAACTTATGTAGAGATAATAATTATTTTTAAACTGAATATGTATAAAGTAAACACAATATTATTGAAATTGATGAGGGTAAGGGGGGAGTTTTATATATATATATATATATATATATATATATATATATTTGAATGGGTGTATTAAATGTATGAGTTTTATCATTATAAAGTTTAAATTATTTCTAGGATAGTTTTGTATCTGACGTAGAGCCCCTTTCAAAAGTGTATTACTGAGTTTTCGAAAAATAAACAAAACCAATGATATACATAGACATAGACATATTCGCATTTATGATCAGAAAACATTAAGATTTGTCAGCAATACTAGTAAGTTATATTTTTAAAACTTACTCTTAAAGTTACACCAATTATATACTGTATTTTTTTGTATTATGTTCTTTTTAATATGATTTTTTACATTTAGAGCTGGAATGATAACGTTTTACAAATATAAAACCAATAATTAAAGAATAAGAATTGGATTAATAATTTTTGTAGGTTTCTAACCCAAAATAAAAATCACTGTTTCTGTTAGAATAAAAAGTTTTAACTTACTTGAAGAAAAGAGTGTTGCTAAATTAAGTTGTATTTCACTATGTAGGTATAAACAAATAGAACTTCGTTTACAATATGTACAGGGTTTATATAGGTTCATCTAAACAACGGAAGATATTGGCAACAATTTAGCAACAGTTTTGCGTGAGCCGGGTCACTTATGTAGTATGAGTAAACCATATTTATGTTGAAGGTTGAATTCTCAAACAGAAGAGTATGAAAATCTTGATTCAGGCAGCATTCGATATCTTGAATATCATAGTTCTCCTCTGATTCAGGATATTCCAGTGGGTAGTTCAGCCTGGCTGGTATGGGAGCAAGCAGTCCAGTTTTAGAAGCTACAGGATATGAATCCCTTGACAAGGTCTATATTGGTATTCTAGCTGCTCCATATCTTGGGGGTCTCCATTGAGAGCTTCTACATGTCCTAGCTTCTGTGTATCCTGGAAGTCCTAGTTCTCCTGTGTGTCCTGGAAGTCCTAGTTCTTCTATGTGTCCTGGATATCCTAGTTCTCCCATGTGTCCTGGATATTCTAGTTCTTCTATGTGTCCTGCAGCTATTGTTACCATAGATGTGTATTGAGCTACTCTGAAATGAGTGGCGTCTCCGTACTCAGAATCATCTGGTTCTTCTGCTTCTACAATGGTATGATGGAGAGCTGTCTGCAAAGAGCAGCTTCTTCCATTTCTTTTACCAGATCCTTTCATCTGTAGACCGCCTGGTTTCTCAATCATGTCTGGAGGACAGTAGATCCCGTTCTCTTATATCCTCATGATCTCTTCTTCACCTGGAGTGTTTGGTCTAGATGTTTCCCAAAGCCCTTTTCTCAAGCTGCACTTCCAAAATGTACATTTTCCCAAGTGACAATTTCACAAGTGGCAACTTCCCCATATAAGTATATTTACTGTTTTTGCCCTGTAATTTTCTGTTCTTGGCCTTTCATTCCAAGTTAATTCACTTATCACATAAATAAAGGCACATGGATGTCTAATTTTTATCATGCATATGAATAGAAATATAAAATTCTTAATTTGGAGCACAAAAAAAACTGTTTTTGTACAAAAACTTTAATATATGATTTTTTAAAAATTCAAAAACTTTGATTGTGATTGTCGTAATAAATTTGATTTACCATTTATATAAAGACTCACAACTATACTCTTTAGACCTTTGTCTGATCTAGAATCTTGAAGATATAGTCGTTTTTCTAGTTTATAAAGTGTTTAAATTCTGGACATTTTTGGCCAGTCCTTTTTACTTTCAAAGTTCAAATATGGATATCTTACAAAGCTTATAATTGCCCTTTATAAATATTACGTCTACAGTTCCTTTACGAACCAATGCTTAAAAACTATTCTCTAAATTTTGATTCATAATCAAAATAACGTCTACAAAAACCTCCATTTCTTTCTTTGTTCTTTGTATTTCCCTGTACACTTTGCATTCTATACTCTGACCCAAATAGAATATCAAGTACAACAGTTTACAACAGAGAAATCAACAAAATATGCACAACGTCACAAGTGTCAAATACAACGAGTTTATAGTGTATAGAGTGATGACGTACGCTAATCCTTTACTAATTTTTTAGACCATAAACTATACCAAGAACGTACTGCATATTTGTTTATTATAAGTAGTTTCTGGCCTAATCTATAGTATATCATTATTAGTAAACAGTTGTAAGTGTGCAGTACAGCTAACTGAGCCCACGGGTAGAGAACTATCATCCCCCGTGGTCAAATATAACAATAAAAACTGAATTGTTTTCACATTTGTTGGCATATTTTCCCAGATCAAATAAAAAAGTGTAAGAACAGAAAATAAAGAACACATAAAATTGCACTTGTTTAACTGTAAGATAAGCACTTTATTCTAAAATTTCACTATTATTAACAATTTTGTCGGACACTAAACTAAATTGACATATGTGACATAAGAATACAGCTGTACCATCTATTGTACTAGAATCTATTTGCTCTAACCTATCTCCGGTTCACAGAGATGATAATAAATTTTGAATTCAAAATCCCTTATTTGAAATCCCTTATTAAACCCATCAAACAAAGATGTGAAGACTTTTAATAATCATTCTAAAGTGAAAATAAACAAAAGACGAGAATACTTTTATTTAAGTAAAATTAATTTAGCTCTAAAATACTTAAATATTTAATAAATTATTTGAAATTTGCACATATATTAGAGGATGCGAAGAAAATCCAAATTGAATCGATAATGGCGTTTTTTCAATTTAAATTTAGCTCAAGTAACGTTGTAATAAAACATTTTCTTTCAGATTCGATGCACAAATAAGTCGTCTTCCTTTTCTCATTTATTTGATAGTTTAATGTTTAACCATAATAGATTTTGATAAAATACCACCCCCCCCCCCTGCTAAGAAATCTTTTTGATTTTCTGCCTGAAAATTTAAATTCGTGAGAAAAAAAAACTTATTTTTGATTTATATTATTAAAATCATACATATATGTGAAAAACTAAAATAATAGTTTAAGATTTGCAAAATGAAACAGGGCAGATATTGTTAAATTCAAGTGCATTTTCTAATCTAAAAACAAATGTAACTTTAGTTTCAAGACTTAATTAAGCTGATTCTGTTTTTTTTTTCGATATTTTTTTAACTGTTAATGGCAGGGTCTCCAAACAGGGGCGTAAATAAGGATTCTGTATGAGTCAGTCAATTCTTTTCCTGTGTGCGCGGAGCGCCAAAGGAAATTTGTTAAGTACTTTGTTTAATTACAGATATAATTACAAGAAATAATCAGTTTTATTATTATATTATCAAAATACATATATAATTTTAATTACCTACATTGAAAAAGGACAGATATAATGTTACGTTTTCTCCTTAAGTTATTGAATATATGATTAATCATTCTAACCAACATTCATAATCTTATTTCATTTCCGATTTTATAGAAGTTCGTTCAAAGAAGATAAACAGGTTATCAAATATGATAATCAGTTAGAAGTTTGCCAGAATGTTCTCTAGATTTGGAACTGAGTTCACTCAAATATTCTAATCCCTAAATCTTTGCACCGAGTGGTGTAAACCTTTGATATTTCAAACTTAGAATATTTTACCAAAATAATTCAAAGTTTGAAGTATCATACTATCTGCACATTTGAACTATTTTCGTGCAAATTTTAAAGATATTCAATTTTAAAATCAACCTTTTTTTAAAAAAACATATAAAATGTAATTTACATTTCTTATATTTAGCCTTCTGCTGATGAGCTCTAAAAGTTCAGGAGAGCCTTCACTTTTTCTCAAGGTTATAATTATTAAATACTGAACCAAGGAACCTAATTATTTGATCTAAATGTATCAATCCTTAAAAATCACATCAAAAAGACTTTTTCAGGCCGTATCTAGTCAGTCAGGCAGTTGACTTTGGACTTTGATTTTTTACTACAATATGTCTTTTGACTGTTCATGACAAGTTACAAAATTGGGGGTCCCTGCCATTAATATGAAAACAAATATTGTAAAAAATCCAGAGGAAGCATGATAAAGTCTTTAAAAGAATACATAGATCTAGATCCCCCAGCCTTTATAGGGTTAAAATGGATTTGCGGAAAATTCCCAAGGTGACATTTTCTGAAAATTAAGATTTTAACTCGATAACATCTTCTGCAGAAAAAGTTTAGGTGTTTTGACTTGAAACCTGATGGTCCATTTATAGCAGTGTGAGTAATAATAGTTTTCGATTTCCTACAGGGGAGCGCCCCCCCCACCCTTTTAGGGACACCCGCTCTGTAAAAGGTGTGTCTCTCAAAATTACAACGGCACGGGCAGCTGGCCTCTTATTCTTATAAGGTCTTGGGGGACTGTTTATTATATTATATACACTATATATATACAAATCCAGTATATTCCAGAAATTGCGCAGTTTTTAATGTTTGAAGTAGACTGATTTCAGTTTGCACAGTAGAACAAACCCAGTCACTGCAGGAACAGAGTATGAGGAAAAAAGTATTTTATATCAGGTAATATATCATCTATCTATCTATCTATCTATCTATCTATCTATCTATCTATCTATCTATCTATCTATCTATCTATCTATCTATCTATCTATCTATCTATCAGATTCACAGTAAGGACGTGTATTGAGGATTCACAGTAAGGACGCATATTGAGGATTCACAGTAAGGACGTATATTGAGGATTCACAGTAAGGACGCATATTCAGGATTCACAGTAAGGATGCATATTGAGGATTTACAGTAAGGATGCATATTATGGATTCACAGTAAGGACGTGTATTGAGGATTCACAGTAAGGACACATATTGAGGATTCACAGTAAGGACGCATATTGAGGATTCACAGTAAGGAAGTGCATTTAGAATTCACAGTAAGGACGTGTATTGAGGATTCACAGTAAGGACGAATATTAAGGATTCACAGTAAGGACGTGTATTGAGAATTCACAGTAAGGACGTGTATTGAGGATTCACAGTAAGGACGCATATTGAGGATTCACAGTAAGGACGTGTATTGAGGATTCACAGTAAGGACGTGTATTGAGTATTCACAGTAAGGACGTGTATTGAGGATTCACAGTAAGGACGAATATTGAGGATTCACAGTGAGGACGTTTATTGAGGATTCACAGTAAGGACGTATATTGATGATTTTCAGTAAGGACGTGTATTGAGGATTCACAGTAAGGACGTATATTGAGGATTCACAGTAAGGACCCATATTGAGGATGCATAGTAAGGACACATATTGAGGATTTACAGTAAGGATGCATATTGAGGATTTACAGTAAGGACGCATATTGAGGATTCACAGTAAGGACGTATATTGAGGATTCACAGTAAGAACGCATATTGAGGATTTTCAGTAAGGAAGCATATTGAGGATTCACAGTATGGACGCATATTATGGATTCACAGTAAGGACGTGTATTGAGGATTCACAGTAAGGACACATATTGAGGATTTACAGTAAGGAAGCATATTGAGGATTCACAGTAAGGACGCATATTATGGATTCACAGTTAGGACGTGTATTGAAGATTCACAGTAAGGACACATATTGAGGATTTACAGTAAGGACGCATATTGAGGATTTACAGTAAGGACGCATATTGGGGATTCACAGTAAGGACGTGTATTGAGGATTCACAGTAAGGACGAACATTGAGGATTCACAGTAAGGACGTATAGTGAGTAATGTTTATGTTTATAATCATAATTCCTCTAATTGAAGAGCTAGAAAAACAAAAATGTGTTGAATTCTAACATGTAACCTGATTAAGTTAATGTTCTTTTACTTGTGCATGAAATCCAAACTAGGGGTGTACAAGGTTGACGATCTTGCCAATGATGTCAGATATTCCTTCTGTTCACAGAGATGAAAATAAATTTCTAATTCGGAAAAAAATTCAAAATAAACAGAGATTTTTCTTACCAAAAATAATAATTTAAAAATTGCTTTCTAACCCTTAAATATAAAATGTAATTTACAATTCTTATATTTAGCCTTCTGCTGATGAGCTCTAAAAGTTCAGGGGAGCCTTCACTTTTTCTCAAGGTTATAAACATTATCATCATCATCATCATCATCGTCATCATCATCATCATCATCATCATCAGAATTATCATCGTCATCATTATCATCATCATCATCATCATCATCATCGTCATCATCATCATCATCATCATCATCATCATCATCATCAGAATTATCATCGTCATCATCATCATCAGTATCATCATCTTCATCATCATCATCATCATCCTCATTTTCATCATCATGAACATCATCAGAATCATCAGAATCATCAATAATCATCATCATCCTAGTCATCTCATCATAATCATCAACATAATCATCATCATCATCATCATTATCATCATCAACATAATCATCAACATAATTTTTATCATTACCTTAAAACTTTATCTAATAGTTTAGGGGGTACGCAATTCTTGGATTTTAACTTGATTTTTATAAATGTTAATTTATATTCCATAGAAAGCTTAGACTTGTTTTCACATGTATATAATTTAGTTTAATCTATCCATTTATTTCATTAGGTTTTTTTATGTTTTATTTAAACTTTTTCTATTTATCAATGTATATTATAAGGGCTAAATTTAAAACAGTCTCAGACCTTTGAGTCCTCAACAGAATTTAAAACACAGATACACTAGATATATGGATATGTTAATCTCAGTCACAGAACAAAACAATATCACTTTAAAAACTTTAAAAATGTTTTATTTTATTGAGATATGGAAAGGTAAAGCTATACTTTTACAAGGGGCGGAATTAATACATAGATATATTTGTACTTTATGTCGCAAAATATATTTGTACTTTATGTGGCAAAATAAATTTGTACTTTATCTGGCAAAATATATTTGTACTTTATCTGGTAAAATATATTTGTACTTTATCTGGTAAAATATTTTTGTACTTTATCTGGTAAAATATATTTGTAATTTATCTGGGAAAATATATTTGTACTTTATCTGGCAAAGCTTTTAAGGGTACCTTTATGTATCATATATATTACTTCTCAATGGCGGTTTACTTTAAATCGCGTTTACAATCCCTTTATTAAATATTTATTTAGAAAAAAGTAACCCGAGGAGTTGGATGTACAAGTATTCAACAAACTACCAGTTAAATGGAATGCAAGGTATCAAATTAAATAGTTTTTTTTCACGCCCCATCCCCCCCTAGATTTTTTTTGGTGAAGGATTGTCAATAGATGGTTGAGCCCACAAAAATATCAATTTCAGCTAATCAATTTAGCTAAATTTTCAAGGATTGCAATATTTTTTGATAATACATAATAAAAAATAGGTTTAATATAACATAAATTCATCCGTTTGTTTGCTTAGTCAAACATCAAATATCAAATACGATTCTATAAAGTAAATTTAGTTTTCTAAAATCCATTCCATGTCAAAACTATTGTTTGCTTGAGTTCCAAATTATAATGAAAAACAAATATACATATACTCTGGAAAAAAGTTTTTTAAAAATGTTTTAGAATTTATTTTTTAATATTTTTTATAAAATAAAATGGTATGATGCATAGTTAATTATTTCAATCTTCTTTTCTCCTTTCTCCGTCTTCACATCTGCAAGCTCTCTTTATTTTGCTTCTCTTTGTCCATCCACTTATGGTGCTGCTTTTGAAAAAATGTTTACCATTTGCAGTCATTGCACTATTATAAGACAGTGCATGATAACCCTCTCATTGAATAAACGTCCCCCTCTCTGTTATATGAATCAAAAACTTTTGGACATACATTTTTTGAAGTGTTGTGCATCCATAAACCTTCCCTGGGGTTATGTGTGGTCCCACACAAAATTGGGGCCCGATCGGTTTAGCGGTTTGTTGTTTATTGGACACAAACAAACAAACAGACACTCAAGCAAAATTATTTATAGATTTAAATTTATTTTGTCCTGAAAATAATGGACACCAGAGCAAAAGGTTGCCTGTACTGGGATAGTGGGTACTAAATCTGGTGTCAAGAATGTAATATAAAATTATTTAATTTATTAAAATTTAGATGCTGTGCACCATGGACCCAGTCTGTAAAGCCATCAATCATGGAAATGTAAATATATGTTTTAACCACACTGGGTAGGAAAGAGAAAGATTGGAATGTGGATGGGAGAAATAAGAGGAGAGGGATGTCACAAAGGGGGATATGAAAAGGAGGGGAAGGAAATATCAATCAGAGGGGGAGAGTGAGTATTCGTTACAAATATTATCATCCCCACATCTCTGCAACCTTTGATATTAGTAACCAAATATTGAGATTTGAAATACTGAAAATGTATAAAAACTAATTGTAAATGGTTTCTAGGAGAAGTGTGAACTGTGTCCTGATGAATTATCAAATGGATATAAGGGTATAGGACTAAACACTGATGGAATGTAAGCTAACAATATTCTTAATGACTCAATCCAACATTTTATTATTAATTGATTGTAGTTAAAATATTAATATATTATTAAAAGAGGGAAAACAAAAACATTTTACAAGATAAAACAAATTCTTTGAAGTTAAGTTTGTTCAAAAATCCCTGAATTAGAAAGCGTTGAGCTTTATTTGGTTCAGTTCAAACTTTAGAGTTAATTGGTCTTTGAACCATTCTTCAAAAATGGCCAATTGCCCTGTCATGCTTTTGTTCTTTGAGATTTCAGTAATTTGAGACTTTTAAAAAATTTCAAAGAAAATTAGCGATTTTTTGGGGGAAAATCAAACACTTCTGCCCATTTTTAGCCTACTAGACTTTATGGTGCTTCACAACCATCTTATATTTCAATTGTGAACATTTTCTTTTTGTATACATTGTAAAACAAAAAAAATGCCGTTGATTTAAAAATTTTTTGGGAAATCAAATTTTATAGGAGGCTAAATTTTTTTATTTCGATATAAACCTTCCCTGGGGTTAAGATCGGTTCAGCTGTTTTGTTGTTTATTGGGTACAAGCAAACAGACAAACAGATAGACAAGCAAAGAATATTGAATCAGATGAAAAATTGAACTCCTATTGTTTTTGTTGAAAATCCCTGTCAATTTTAAGGGTTTAAAAACTCCCAAGATTAGCAGTTTTTTATTATTAAACTGTCATATTTCAAAAATTGTGTTAATGAAATAAAGACAACAAACAAGTCTTCACTTTTTTTCATGTTTATTGGGGCATTCTGTATAATGGAATAGTTCATATATTTTTGTGGCCTGATGAAATGCTTGAAAATAAAAATATACTTAAATGCATAAAGGTAAACAGTTTAATGCAATGATGGTATGGTAGTAAAATAACATTAAGAATGTAAATAATTGAAATTAATGAGATTTTGATCAGAAATGAATATAATTCAAGGTTCTTCTACACAGCAAGCAAAGAGGAGGATGTTAAAATATTTGAAGCGGTAAATATATATTTTTTATTTAGAGAAAACAAATATGGGTATTACTTAAAACTGTCCTTTTCTTATTTTTTTTCTATAAACTTTCAAAAATGTTGGATTTGAAATAAAATACAGGAAATTTTTGACAAATAATTAAAAATAACATTACTATTATGTTTTATGATTTCAACGTTATTTATTTTACTCTGCAAACGAGCAAGAATGAGAAGATAAAATTGATGCCATATTACTGATGCAACTTTTCGACCTCGTAGCTTCTCTTAGTTTTGATTTCATGTTACATTTTGAGTGAATATATTATTTAGTTCCATATTAAAAATTCAAAACAATTTTGTTCAGTGCTAAAAATAGAAAATATTGTTATCCATGCGTTTGTGTATTAATTATTTGCTTTTATATAGTCAGAAAAAGCTAGTTTATTTTATGTTACCCGAGTGAGAAAAATGTCTTGTTTGAATAATGTTTTACTTCCAGTTCAAATATCTAGTCTATTTTAAATAAATTGAGTAAAATTGACCTTTATGGTTATCTGGTAAACATAACAAAAAAGAAAAATCCAAATTTAAAGTAAAAAATTTGTGTAAAAAGTTTTTTTAAAATATGACTAATTATTGATTTTAAAAAGCCTTTTTCCCAGCACTAAAAGTGTGTTTATAAATCAAACTCCATAACTCAAAGTTGATAACATTAAAATATTAAAGTTCAAAACTTCATTATTAAATGATTTCAATACATATTCAGATGACTAATTGCCCTGACACTCATCCTTTCCCATTTGCTGGTGGTCTTAAATGCTGCGAGGTAAATTTGTTTTAATTCAAACAATCAAAATTTCTTTGATCTAGACTAAATTTAATGAGTTGTTAGAAGTTGTTGAGCTACCTACCTCTGGATCAATTCAAAATTAAACATTTACAGGATTTAGGTAATGAAGCGGTGATTCAGGATTTGAACCAGCGATAGTAATTCAATTTCAATGATAATAATTGGTTGTGAAATAATAAGTGATTGAAATCAATTTTTTTGATAAAATAAAATTTGTTGAAAATGGTTGGAAAATGTTTATTACAATTGTTTTAGAAAATTTCATAAAAATTTGACAAAAATTAAATAAGTTATAAAAAATGTAATATAGAGGACGTGAGTCAGACTCTAATAAAAACGCATAAATAACTTCCAGTATATATATTTCTTATAACTTATTACTAGAGGGTTCAGAACTAGAGTCAATATCGATATCGCACGTGTAGACTGTAGATGATGATATCAGTACTATGCCCCGTATCCGTTCTATCTCATTCTGTTGAAGCTTGTGGAACTAGTTTAACGCGGCCAGGCATCGTCTTCCACAGTAAATTCAATTATTTGCATTTTTGAAGTCATATAGCAGTTCCAAGGTTATAATTTGATTTTGAAAAAATTTTTGGATTTCTTTAATCATATTTTATTTTTATATGGCTAAAGCATTTGGCACTCACCCTATATCTATATCCATCCATTGTTGAATATTAAATTGTTTAGAAATAAAAACAAGAATTATAACCTTAAAATATTTATAGAAAATTCTTATTTTAGAGGAATTTGGCAAATCCTGCAAACATTCCCTCTGGGTCACGTGGATATCTAACTCCAGCTTCAACAACATGCTTGTAAGTATCTAGTCTCATTATATTAATCCTATCATTGTTGGGCTGTTTTTGTCCAAAACAGGATACCCCACTGAATTTTCACATTAATTTAACTCGCTGTTATGTATTGTTTAACCTTACATATACAGGGATCATCAAATATTTTTCAACGTAAGCCTATAGCTTGCTCTCTTTCATTTTTAGTGAACACACTCTGTAAGAAGAGTTATAAAGGAGTATGTAATAATTTATGTTATTAGTTAGTAGTGAGAATTATGTTAAGTGAGTGTTAACTGTTCAGGGGATCAGAGTTTGTTTGTCCTGGATCTAAGTGTTCTAGAAACCAAGCTTATAATGATCTAACAGCTCTACAGGAAATTATTATTAAGATATATGTTCATAAATTAACATCTGTTGATAAACATAAGTCTGAAAAAACTACTGTGAATGTTGTTAACATAATCTTCTGTTAATTTTCAAAAATTGCCGTACGTTAATGGAACCTTGTCCAGTCTTAGTTGGAATTTAATACATCACCTAACTAAGATAAAATATTGAAAACAGATTTTAACTGCTAATTTGGGCGGTGCGAGTTTGGTGCAAGAAATACGCAGTGTAGAATCAGCCACTGTTTGCCAGCAGTACTGTGAATCCCACACCCAGTGCATGGTAAGTTTCTAGATTGATTTAAGTGATCCACTTTGATGAACAAAATCTATGCTGTAAATGTTATTTCAAAATGTTAAATAAAGAATATCATTCATGACTGACCAAAACCAACCCCCCAGACAATAGGATAACAGTTGCAGTACACTGTTTTTCTGAGGCTTTATCTTGTCTACAAAGTGGTTGTCTTGTTCATATACTTTGGAGAATTATAGTTTGGCCACTATATGCCTCACAACACATTCTTATCTGATAGATAAATAGAAAAGTGATAAATAATTTGCAAATGACCACAGTACAACCACTTTAATGTGGTCGACCACTTTAATTTTGGAAGGAATGGCCTCCGAAGGGGACATTTGTCAAAAGGTAAATATTGGTAAAAAGGGTAAATTCAGAAAGTACCAGAACTACGGGAGCTGTTGCTCAGGAGCCAATATTTAAATTTATCTCTTGGTTTTCTAATTTTTTCTTTTCTTAATTTTCTTTCGCCTTATTCAGATGTTTAAAAGAGTCCATTTTAAACTCTACTTTCCCAATTTCTATCTTTTCCTTTAAGTTTAGCTTAAGTACATGCATGCATTATGGTGGTTAATATTCTTATAATATGAAGGAACATTTCTGTCAGAGATCAAAGAGTAACAGAGATCAATTGAAACCTATGAATTGTGTTATTTTCCAGAGCAGATTTTATTGTGTGTACAAGTACTGTACATGACCTATCAGCAGACATCTGTATTCAGGGATATTTAAGGATCCTTTAGAAACAAAATACAAAATCTTCAAAAAATGACAAAATTCATTAATATTTTAAATTGGAGCATTTCTTTAAAAGTTGTAAAACTTAACCCCTAAATAGGTAATATATAGCAACAAATTGCTATTACATGGCAGTCAAAAAACCTCTCATGGTTTGCCAGGACACTTTTGGCCTGCTTAGCCTATCCGGGAAGAGCATATGTGCAGTCTGGTTAGTCTGTGGTTTCTGTTCTTAGGTAGGAGCAAATAGATTATCAAGTACAATAGATGGCAAAGTAGAATCTGTACACTGTCATTACATTGAGTACAGCTGTATTCTTAAATCATAAGTGTTAAGAGTTTTATATATAATGTCTTACAGTGAAAAAATATGCTTTCACACGCTGGGCTAAGTAGGCCTATAGTCATACTACATGACATGCTATATATTACAAAAGGTTTGTGACTTCCATCTAACCACCACTTGTTGCATATAATACCCATTACTGGATAACTTTTACAATTTTTAAAGAAACGCTCAAACTTTTAACCGAAAACATAAAATTAATAAGGTTAGTTTAATTTTGAAAGTTTAATACTTTGTATCCAAAGACTCCTAAAATATCTCTGTATCTGTGTAATTAATGTTGTGTAACATGATATCTGTAAACCTAAACTAAGTTGTACATTTTTAAACCTCTAAGTATAACCCATTATTCATTTGGACTGCACTTCATATCAGTCAAACCAGCCTACAGAAGAACATTTTAACCTTCCTGAACATGAACTCTATCAATTAAAAGTTAGCGTACTATAGAGAAGGTTTGGGACCTTGTGGGAAGTTTACTTTAAGTACGAGAACCTAAATACATTAGAGATTTAGGACTGATCTCAGAGGAATGAACAGAAAAAATAGTTTTTATTTAATTGTAATCTGTACATCAGTATTTTTTATTTCCAATTCTTTAAAAGTTTTAAATACCCCTCCTTAGACAAGCTGCCCCTCCACAATTGATGTAAAAGTTCGTTAATTTGATCGGCCCCCACTCCCCCCCCCACCACCACTTTAAACACTATAAATATAAACTAGTTTGTTTTTTATCTTCATTTGACAGAAACAATCTCAAGGAATAATAGTAGTCTAAAATTCTTTTTTTTTAAATGAATATTTACAAATTATCTTTTTTCCATCTCATGATCTGACATCCATTTGACAGCTGATTCAAATTTTTTAAAAATAATCCTTTTGTTTGTTTACTTTCTTGTGGTTTTTAACATCAATTTTGATGGTTATTATAACGTTAGAACTGACAAGGGTCAACCTTGACCAAAATATATTATCAATAAAATGTGGAACTAACATCTACTTTTTTTCTCTACAGAGGTTTGGTCGATCACCATACACAAATTTTGATTCAATTTGAAAGTATTTAAAATATTCAATCAGATTGGACTTGGTTGTATCGCACATATCCTTACACATATTTTCCCGCTTTATTCATTTCTGAAAATTAATATAAACTTTACTAATTACGGAATGGTTTTGTGTTACGTAATTTTGCGTAATTATGCCTCAATTATGCGAAACTAGACTTTCTTTCGTATACATAATTAGCATGGAATTTTGCGTAATGCTCCTCCGTAAGGGAAAGAAAGTGTTACGCATAATAACACGTAATTACATATAACACGTAATTACGACTGGAAACCCTAACTTAATCCAATTCCAAGGTTTTCAGGCATACGTTGTTAGATATCAGGTGTCACAACTGTTTCCCTGTTCTTGTTTCTCCAATTTCTACAACACTCTTGCTGTTTTCCGTCATCTCAGAAATATCTGTGCTGCTGTTTCTGGTTTCCCACATTTCATCTGCTCTTTTGCTGCTATCTATCATCTCAAAAGTATTTAAATACAAAGTTTTTAACTCATGTCTATCAGGCAATAACTGTCGATCAACTGTTAAATATACCAAAAAGCAGTATTTACTCGAAATACATCATGCGTAACTAGTTCTCAGACTCTATAAATGTTACATGAAAATATGAGACAAAGTACTTTTATAAAATAGTAAAAAATGGTATTATTTCTTGATTGATGAATTCTATACACGTACAGATACACATAGAGGTCACAACAAAATCCTCCTCCTTCTCATGAAAAACAGGCTCCTCTTGTTTGGTGTGTATGCTTGTAACCATAACTCTTCCTTGGCAGGATAATATTCTCTGGTATCTCCATCACTTTCCTGTTTCCTGTCTAGGTATTCCTGTTTTATTCATCTTGTCATTATGAATTCTTCTGGTATCCTCCTACTTTCTCTTTTTCTTGTCAAGGTATTCTAGGCTTTCATCATAATGTTGTTGTGATAATTTTTTCATAATTTCTGAAAAAAAAAAAATTGTACCTGGATAGATATGGGTTGAGATCCCCTTATGGTGCAGGGCATTTACTACAAAAGTGTTAGCAGCAAGGAAAATTAAGGAACCCTAGTTAAATGCCATTTTCCATTTTAGCTGGAAACCCTAATACTGAGTGATGAAGAGTTTTTAGCGTTGATGAAAATAGAACACGGTACATGAAACAAGTTGAATCATGCAGTAAATCTCATCACTGGAATGGTGATACAACAAGAAGTGACAGAGTCTCACTCTAAACTAGAAGTGAGTAGTATACAAAAAGTCGGAGAAAGAAAATCGGAAGATAAAAACTTCAAGAAAACTATGCTACAAAAAAGCAAGAATTAGGCCAAGAAAGAATACTGCAAGAAAATACTTATAGTTTATCAGACAATATCCAAGATTTATGCGTTCAGAAACACATGGATTAAATTGTGTACAATAATCAGATTATCCTACAGGAGAAAGTTAGAAGGAATTTATTCATGAAAGCTATAAAATAGATGAAAACAGGATCTCAAATCTAAATGTTGAAAGAGGAAACAGTAAAACGGTTTTTGGATAAGTTTTCTGGTCTGGTGGCAATCCAGAACATAATGTTTCAAAATTCATAATAAAAGAAAGGTGATCAACAAACATGCACAAAGAATGCCCACTACAAATGAAAATAATGTTTTAAGCAGATCTAGAAGGGGATAAAGTAGAAATAACTATGGAGAAGCAGAAGTTTGCCGGATACCCATTTGCTATACACAGCAGGAATCAAGAGAAGCATCAATATCAAGAGCAGCATCAAGATCAGGAGAAGCATCAATCAAGAGCAAGATGATCATCAAGAGCAGGAGAAGTTTCAAGATCAAGATAAGCACAAAGATCAAGAAAAACATCAAGATCAACCAATTTGAGGCACTATAGATGGATTCTGAGAGTGGAGATGGACAAGTAGCTCATCTTTAATTTTGAGGTGGGTGGGAGTACATCAGTTGAGACAAATAATACCTAAGATACGCAGTAATGTGGCTGACACTTCCCTCGTCCTCACGCACGTTTCGTAAAAAATCACACTAAAAGTACATTTCCAACAAATCAGGCTCAATTTCTGCCGAGAATTCTAGAGTATTGTTACCAGAGGAGTGTTCCCTTACTCATCATGCATGTTTGGTAGTTAACTGATATCTGAGCTTGTGTCCTTGTTGAAATTGATTGCTGGTTCTCATTGAAACATAGAAGCAGATATTGTGCCCGTTGATTTTGCATTGATCGATTAACAGCTTGTGTCTGTGCTGACATTGATAGCTGTCAAATTGTACATGGATAAATACAGGTTTAAGATAAAGGCATTAACTACATGCTGTACATCCTTTAATAAATCTCTGTACTCTCTTATCTCTGCTTAGAACAGCACTGCTTCTTCCCTTTTTTTATGAAATTGTATTTTGTGTATGTAACCCAGTTACAGGTATTTTAAGCTTATTGAACAGAATTGATTCCATTTTTAGTAATTGTAAATTTTCTTGAATTCTTAAACAATTCTTTAACAACTGCTTGATGTTGATAACCCATGTTATAGGGTTGGGCTTGGACATGGCCAACCAACATTGGATATACAAATGCATGTTTGTTATTAACAAACTCAAATATGTACTTCATTTACAGTTCAAGGTAGGTTTTTTTAAACAAAAATTTATTTGATTAAAATGATCATATTTGTTCAAATCTATGTGAGAAAGTCTAGGAAAAATGTTTCTGAATGAAAAAATGTGGAAATAAAAACTTTGATAAAAAGGTCCCAATTTCCTGAAGTCCTAGGAAATAATGTCTCTGGAAATAAAGTCCTGAGTCTTGTGAAGTTGTCAAAATAATGTCAAGTTCAAGACGTTTTCATAAAAAGTACTTTTATTATGCCTCTGCATGTTAAATAAGGCCAAGGATACTTTTAATGTTAAATGCACCTTTTTTTGTAAACAATCTCTGTTCCCAAGCATTTTTTACTATAATAGGACTTTTTTCCGGGAACAGTTTTGTATAAAGTCATACTGGAACCAGAAGAAGTACTAAAAATGAAGTCTCAAAGTGGTAGGACTTTATTTCCAGAGACTTTTTATTTCAAGGACTTTTTTCAACAGGACTTTATAGTGCCAAAATTCAGGACTTTATTACCCAAAACTTTTTTTCAGAGAACTTTTTAGGCGGTTACCATTTGTTCAATCACCTGTGATCACAAGTGATCAAATTGAATAAATATCTATTTTTTAATAATATTTTGCTAATTTTCTAAAGTCCATAAATATTTTTATTGTACCATTGAAAGAATTATTTCAGGAATCAATTTTATTATTTCAGTTACAAAATGACAGCTGGGTTCAAATCCAGCATCATTGTCTGGAACTAGATTATGTGCTGCTGAATCCAGCATCATTGTCTGGAACTTAATTATCTGCTTCTGAATCCATCAGCATTGTCTGGAACTAGATTTTCAGCAGCTGAATCCAGCATCATTGCCTGAAACTAGATTATCAGCTACTGCTGAATCCAGCATCATTGTCTGGAACTATATTATCTACTGCTGAATCCATCAGCATCGTCTGGAACTAGGTTTTCAGCATTTAAATCCAGCATCATTGTCTGGAACTAGATTATCAGGCTGCTGAATCCATCAGCATTGTCTGGAATTAGATTTTCAGCCGATGAATCCAGCATCATTGTCTGGAACTAGATTATCAGCCACTGAATCCAGCAGCATTTTCAGAAACTAGATTATCAGCTGCTAAATCCAGCATCATTGTCTGAATCAGCTGCTGAATTAAGCATCATCGTCTGAATCTAGATTATTTTCTGTTGAATCCAGCATCTTTGTCTGGAACAAGATTATCAGCTGCTGAATCCAGCATCATTGTCTAGAACTAAATTTATTGCTGAATCCAGCATCGTTGTCTGGATCTATATTATCAGCTGCTGCTGAATCCAGCATCAATGTCTGGGACTAGATTATCAGATATTTAATATTATTATATAAAACAAATCTACTGTTTTTACAACTTATTTCAAATTATAAAGTGTTGCTTTTTCTTTTAGTTGATTAAAGTTAGCTGTTTTAACATTTCAAACAGTTGAAAATATATATCAAAATATAAATAATATGTAAGTTGATTAAAGTTAGCCGATTTAACATTTCAAAAAGTTAAAAATATATATCAAAATATGAATAATATGTAAGTTGATTAAAACCACAATAAGGATTCTTACTTATCCCAAGGGTAAAACTATTTGGCACTTTTTTTTATAAATCAAGTTTCACCAGTTTTAAAGTTTTCTTTGATTCATTAAATAAAAAGATTTGATATTTTCTTTCTTAATAATTGTCAGTTATTCAATTTTTTTTTGTGTTGTTGTTAAAATAGATCAAGATCAGTATTCACAAACATTCACTAATATTTAAATAGCAAAAAAACTTGAAAATTGAGATTTTTCAAAGAATGCAAAAAAAACTAGTTTTTTAGGGTTTAGCAAAACAATTTTAAAATACCAAAATACGGACAAATGATCGGTATTCAGCAGTTCAAGTCAAATCTTTAGATATTTATATCTAGATGGTTTGAAAAATTGAAAAATCGACCTCCACTTATGATCTTAATTATTGAAGAATGATGATTAAAGAATGAGTTATTATCTTATTCTTTTTTTTTCCTTTATAAATGTTGCTTATAATTTACTATTGTATAATATATATTAAACAGTTTCACCCTTATAATTTAACTTTGACAATAACTAATTTTTTATATTTTTTAAATTTAGATTTATCAGAAACATTGTCCATGTAATAAACTTTGTTTTCTTAAACAAACACATATCGAAAAATTTGAAAATTAGGCTTTAAAAATGTTAAAAACTGCTTCTTAAGCACAATTTAAATTTTTAAGTTAAACTGCCACAGAAAGATTTAATTACAAAGCAGCATAGCTTTTAGTTTGGCTTAAACACAAATATATAGTTGATTGCTTATCCTTATAAGATTACATGGCTTAAATATTTAAGTTTAATATGAATTATGTAGATGTGTGTTATGTCTAAATCATTAAACAAAAGAACTACAAGTTAATTCCAAGATGCATATTTTGAAATATTAACTGATGGTTTTATCTTTAAAAGATAATGAATCATTTTTGTTTAAAAAACCTTTTTAATTTATAGCAATTGTATTTGCCAACATTGAATATGAATTATTATAGATCCGAATTAAACAGCTTATTTAAGTGTGAATAAATATTTAAATAAAATAAAATAATATTTAGGCTTTTATAGTGGTACCTGGCGTTCCTTTAAGTTTTAAATGATATTCTTCAAGCCACCATGAATTCTTCATTACATGAGAGCATGCACCCATTCATACTGGTGCTACGGAGAGTAGCTTAGAGTTTTTATTTACTGTCAGATTATTTCTTCTTGAAACTACTCATGCACCATACTGACTATGTATAAAATGCCCTATTTTCACAATAGTTTTATGTCAGATAAATAGAAGGTAGTTAAAGTAGTAATAATTTAAATTTTAAAAATAAAGATGTGTATTGATTTATATATAAATTTTAAGATTAAATGGTAGGGTTTAGAAAAAAAAAATAATTTAATAAATGTAAATATTTTAATTTTAAAAAGTCAGTGGCATTGAGGGTAGTTTGAAATTGAAAAAAAATCTTGGATAAATGTTGATTTTTTAGATTTTACAAAGTTGGAGGTAGTGAGGGAAGTTGGGAATTGGAAAATAAATAATTAAATAAATGTTGATATTAAGATTTAAAAAAGTCTGTGGTAGTGGGGGTAGTTTGAAATTGAAAAAGAATTTTTTTAAAATGTTGATATATAGGTTTTAAAAAGTCGATAATAGTGGGGAATTGAAAAAAAATAAATAATTGAATAAATGTTGATATATAGATTTTATAAAGTTGAAGGTAGTGACTAGTGAGGGTATAGTGGGTAATTGAAAAAATAAATTCTTGAATAAATGTTGATATATAGATTGATAAAAAACTGAGGTAGTGTGGGTAGTGGGGAATTGAAAAACTAAATAATTGAATAATATTGTGTAAACCGATCAAAAGAAATATTGCTCGAAATGGGCGTAAATGGAGCTAAAGAAATGCAACTCGAGATAGCAGAAATTTCGGTCGTAAGCTTCTCAAGGGATGACAAATCCAAAGGTGAATAGGCTGGATAAACTACTCCCATACTCAATACATAGACGAGAACTTCTTGATTGTTAATAAAGATTAAACCAGTTGGGTGTAACTAAAATATATGAATGTTGTTGTGAACAAACAATTGATTAAGGAAATATGTATCATTGAGAATTGAACAAAGGCTTAAAGGTACTGTTGTGAATCTGCAAATAAAAAGGTTTAAAAGATATTGTTGTGAATTAAACATAAGGAACTTACGATCTAGAATTATATGGCATGGGAATAATTGTTTGAATTGTAGTCTAAAGCAATTTTAATCTTCTGAAATAAATATTTATTTGGTTACAGGAATTTCACTATTTGTTGGTAAATGATTCACTGAAATTATGTTTAAATTGGTTCTTTTTAATGCACTTTAAGTTTTATTAGCTCCATGAGGCTTTTGTTTACATTTACGCGGAGACCTTGGAAATGTTTGGTTTGGAAAGTGAACGGAGGGTTTAACAGAGGTACAGTTTGTCAGAGAAGACCTTTACAACAGAGTGAATTATGGGGTATGGTTCACATATTGATATTAAGATTTTAAAAAGTCAGAGGTAGGATAGGGTTTCCAACATAATAGATTATTCTCTTACGCGTAATTACGTGCAGTTACGCGTAATAATTTTCATTTCATGTAATTTCGCAGGATTACTCGTAATTGGGGAAATATTCATTTCGCATAATTACGGCGTAATTTCAGGTAATTTCTACAACGTAATTTCGCAAAATTTTGTAATGATTACTTGTAATAAGCGAAACTATAATTATGCGTAATTACGGCCTAGTTTCGCGTAATTTCTATGATGTAATTTCGCGAAATTTTGTGTTAATTACGCGTAATTAGCAAAACTTCAATTTCTACAAAGTAATTTTGCGAAATTTTGCAATAATTACGTCTATGAAATTTTGAAGTTTTAACTTTTAATTTAAATAAAACAACTAACTTACAAGGAAAATAATGTCACGCAAGTTGAATCAGAAATTTAGNTCCACAGGGACTATATCTTTACACATACTGTCCCGCTATAATTATTTCTGAGAATTAATATGTACTTTATTTATTACGGAATTGTTTCGTATTACGTAATTTCGCGTAATTACGCCTTAATTTCGTAAACGTAATAAATGCGTAATTACGCGTAATGTTCCTGCGTAAGTGAAAGAAAGTGTTATGCGTAATTACGCGTAACGTAATTACGACTGGAAACCCTAAGGTAGGATACTTAATAACAGCTAACCAGGCTTGTTGTTAAAGAGTATATTTAAAGCCGCCAATAACAAAATCTGGATCCAGCTAGGTAAAAAACCTTCATTCTCCAGGTTAATACAGCGTTAAAAGATTAATGCAGGCCTTCAATGTGTCTTGTAGTTCCGTTTTTGTGTTTTCCATTAGATTGCAGGGGTGTATAACCCCCGTATACACCCCTGGCTGAAGTTTCTCTAGTTTGCCTTTTCTCTCTCACCCTGTATCTCTGAATACTGTAAGAAGCCCATGTCAAGACCCAGTGTTATTTATCTGAATGCTGAATGTATACTGAATGTATACTAATGTGGACACTTTAAATTTTAGAATAAATGCTGGATCCCTAAATTGAAGTTGTCCCTGCATGCTCACAAAAAGGAATACGATTAATTAACAAAATTTTTGACTTCATATATCATTTAACATTGAATCCCAGTGTTCTACAAATGACTATTTTCAAATTGATATTTTTTAAATCTTTATGACTAGGAACCAATTTTCCGTAAAAAATGATTAGTAAGCTAAATATATAAAGTTCTAGTCTCTGTTTGGGTGTTTGTCTGTTTGTCCGATCATAACTCGGAAACCCCTAGACAGATTTCCCTTAAATTTTTATTGGAACTTGGGACAGTCACGGGAATGTTCTTATCTTGGTTTTAAGATTCTAGTTTTATTAGGTAAAATAGCTAAAATCGTAATTTACGACCAAGCGCGGGATAACGGCGGGACAAACCATGACTACCCTGGGCAATGCTGGGTTCCCAAGCTATTTGTGAAATATTCATACCACAGAGTACCTTTGAACCAGTAGTTTAGGATTAAATGATATTCATGAAGGAATTGAAAATTTTTTCTCGAACTTATATTTTATAATCCCTGTATCTTTGAAACTTGTTATTTCAAATACAGGAATTTTTGCCACAAACTCAAGTTTTCTGATTCCTTTTTCTTTGACATTTAAAGCATATAAATTCTGTAATATCAAATAACCTTTTTTTGAAATATCAAAGGTTTACTCCATTAAGGTGCAAAGCTAAGGATTATAAAATTTGTGTTTATGGCAAAGCACTCAGTTCCTTTGAAAACGGTTTGAGAACGACACCATATGGTCACTATATTGTACCCGCAAAGCCCGCGTTTAGGGTTAATGCTAAAAGATTTCTTATTGTTCGAAGTATTTTAACCATAGATAAATAAATAAACATAGATAGCTTGTGTATGCAAAATCACTAAGAATTGTACAGTGCGCGAACTCATACTTCTAGGGGTCAAAGTGTACTTCAATGATAAGTGGGGTGGTTTGGTGTTTAATGGATTTCATAATAGAGTAAGAGTAAATAACTCCAGAAATGGAACTATTTGAACAACAATATTTCATATATCATATTGACGAGAACTGAAGATGGACATGAGAAGGACTAAACTAACTTGAATTTCTCTCTGCAGAACTCATGTACACCACAAGTACTCAATGACATAAGAACAGCCCATGTTCACAACCGACCTAGTTAATCTATATAATAGATCTTTAAAAGATCTCTGTACAAATATATATCTTTCAAGATGAAAAATGTCGTCTTATGCGCAATCTATCTTTATCTATGATTTTAACTTGAATTAAACGTATCATTATGATTTTGAAATGTGACTAATGAAACTTGGGAGAAGCTTGAGTTTAGGGATAGAATAATCCAGGTTGGAAAATAAACTATACGCAAAAGAAAAATGTGCAAATAGATTTGTTCGTTCTAAAAATTGTATGTTCCGTTTTATCGTATCGAAAAGTCCAATGTCCGGAAAATGTTTTTAAATCCAGGAACAAGTCTACCAATTGAACTTTCAATGACATGTTTGAGCAGTAAGATTGGCTTTGTATAGTAACTAATTAAAAAATGTGAAATATGTAAATGATATAGTTTTAGTCAATGTTCACTTTTAAACATATTTTAACTTGCATGAACTAAGAGTTTTTGAGTGATAAAAAAATTTAAATAATGTAGATTATTATGAAAATTTAACCTTTATAAGGGACTATAGAGTGACCCTCTAATTGTAAAGTAGCACATCTAGTTTATAATACTATCCGTTGCAACTTTGTCTGATCAATTGATCAATTAAACTTTAAATGTGTTCAATGAAATAGTTGTTAAGGCCAGTCTGTGCCGCGACCATCTAGTTGTAGCTTCAACCTCACAGTGTAATATATATACAACGAAGAGTTGGAACACATGAACTATAATTGATCTAAGGGTATTCATTTGATCTAAAAGTATCCAATGCCAACGAACAATT